GCATTTAATTTTTGAATATCTTCGTCAGTATACTCCTTATTTGTTACATCTAATTTAACCTGCTTGTTTACCTGATCTAAACATTTATAAATTTGATTTGCTTCATTTATCTTCCTATTTACACACTCAATAGTGCGCCTATCCCGACCGATTTTTATTAAATAAGTTCTTATCTCTTTTAATTTGTTATGAATGCCCGTTAATTTTAACTCCATCAAAAGTTTCTCAACCTTTCATACCAAATTAGCATATCAAACATTTTACGCTAAATCAAACAATAATTACAACGATCAGCAATAACAATGAACCCAAGTTTTATATCTAACATGCAAAAAAAAATTCTCGATGCAATAACTAGTTAATTTGCTGAAGTTCCAATTTTCATTTCCTACGAGTGAAAATGTACTTTGCACTTCCTTTGACCGATGTTAACCCGACATATTTCCTTTTTGAAAACCTGTTACAATACCTTATGCGCAATTTCACGAACTTAACCACTTTTCCCACTTTCAATAGATTAAAACTTAACTTGATTTTCACTTTCCATTCAATCACTGCACTGTAACACTAAATCACTATGCCTCTGTAGTAGCGTCCCTGGAATGCTCCAATTCATTCTTATGGATTTCTTGACGTACCTACCACTTTTCTTAGCATTTTCTTACACTTTTTGATTCCCAGCCATAGTAATAAAATTACCAACACAACCGTCAAACAGATTAAGATCCAATCCGTCTTCGTTATGGTCGCATCCCCGCTTGCTGCGCAATTATGACTTCTTCTTTCGACGTTTTACTGCCCATGTCTTATTTTCCTCTGACAACGGGTTTCAGTTTCAATTATCCTGGAATCATCCTGGCATGGTCGCCATGTAATATTCAACATTTATATGCCGTTTTATATTTGTTGTCTGCTTACATTTAGGCACGGAGTACGGGGGGGAAGGGTCACAGAAACGCAGGTTGCGCTTCAGAACTTTATTCTAACACTACCTAATCCACACTATCCAACTGTACAATCACCTCTTATATCTATTCCTTACGTTAACAATTTTCCCTACTCATTTTATTGACACTATACTACAGCGAAATAACTAATTTCGAAAACGGAACACGTCCCCACGAACTCTAGTGTTAAAAAATTTCGATACGCCACTGGTTTGACAAGCTTGATGTATTGATTTCAAACGAGGAAGCACAAAATTCAATAGACGTCTTCTGCACCTGTTGCAACCTTTGTAATACTTATCACAACAGTCGTTTATAAGTCAAGTCGGATAATGGGTTTTCCGCTGCTCCGATTGATTTTAAAAGTGGGAAAAATTTTAGCCCTCGTTCCGTCTTGTCAAAGACCGTTGACTTTCTGGCAAAAATTCTACCCGTTCGTCATGGCGGGGTTGGTCACACTAGGGGTGGGAATCGCGATGATATTCAGGGCGCCTTTCTACCAAGAATCGTCGGGTTTCGGTGTAATAATCCAAATTTTGTTGGACTCGACGTTGTACATTTTAAATATCTACTCAATTCTGACGTCTCATGGCAAGAACTACGTCTGGTGCAAACTACTAAAAAATCTGAAAACAGTCGACGATAATTATAGCATCAGAGAAAACTCAAACTACTGGCGATTCATCGGAGTCAACGTTTTGTTTTGGGGGGGGCAGACTTACATGTCCTACTGGGGTTACAGCGCAATAGGGTTCGATTTTTTCAGGCAATTCGCAATCGAGTATCTCCAAATGTACGACGAACTGGTGATAAATTTTCTCTTCTACGCGGTGTTGACGATGCTCCTCACCAGATACCAAGCTCTAACGAAACAACTGCAATATCACTTGTTTCTGTTGACAAAGTACGGCAACACCGCACAATTTTCTAAAGCTTGCTCTAAAATTAAACTCGATTTTTGTCGTTTGAAAGTGTGTGCTGATATCGCCAACGACATTTTCGGGTGGCCACTTTTATTCACAATCGTGTATGCCTGTCTGCAAACCCTCCTCTACTTGGAGATAATCGTCGTCACGCCAATTTCGCTCAACTCGATTTTGTACGTTTTGATTATAATTTTTTTGCACTACGTAAGTAATTCCAATATCGTCACCAAATTAAATCAACATAAAGTTTCAGATGTACGTTATAATCAACATATTTCTGTGTGAATCAGTTTCCAACCAAGCGAAAAAGACCATCCAAGTTGCTACCAACTGCGAAAAATATTTTTTGGGAGAACGCGGGCCCGACCACGACGATTTGCAACACTTCATAGTCGTGGTGAACGACAACATGCCCATTTTTTCCGCCGCACGGTTCTTTGAAATTAACAGAATGACGGTTTTTTCGACGCTGAATGTCGTCATCACTTTTTTGATAGTGATGGTGCAGTTTGAAAGGGCTAAGCAGTCGGGGTGTCGAGAAAGCTGTGACAACGAAACACAAAATGCTTTACATTAAAAGCTCCTATTTCCAATTATTTCTTGTTGGTTTATGTCTATAATAACACGAGTTACGAATGGAAAGTTTTTAGTTTAGTGGTTAGCGATGAGTGTGCTTCACGCGCTTCTGAAGCTCGGAAAAATTTTAGCAGTTGCTCCATCGTGCGAAACAACAAAAACCGGAAAGTTGTACTCTTTGGTGATGGCTGGATTGATCACGCTGGGAGTTGGAGTTTCAATCGTCTATAGAATACCGTTTTACGGCGAAGCCGACATCATCCAACTTGTCATTCAAATCCTTCTAGACTCCACTTTGTACGTTTTTAACATGTACACAGTTTTAACGTCCCAGCGCAGTCAAATCTGGCACGAATTAGTCAAAAATCTGGAGACCCTTCAAACCAAAAATACCCCCAATGAGGGTATCCAATTCGTATCAATCAACTTGATGTTCTGGGGGTGCCAAATATACATGACTTTGGTCGCCTATCGAGCTATAAAAGTCGACTTTTTCAAACAAATGGCAATCGAGTATCTCCAGTTCTACGACCAATTCATAGTCAACTACACCTTCTACGTTCTCTTAAAAATGATCCTCGAAAGATATAGATCTTTGACCAACAAACTACAACACTCTTTATCAGTACTAGAAACAACCAAAGTCAAACGTGACTTCTGCCGTCTCAAAGAGTCAGTCGACCGAGTTAACACCATCTTCGGCTGGCCCTTTTTGTTGACAATCGTCAACGCGAGTCTCCAAACCCTGCTTTATCTCCAGACGATGATAATTTTCCCTTCTTTACCTCTCGACTCGGTTTTCTACACCCTGATTGCCATTTTTTGGCAGTACGTAAGTTTGCAAACCGTCCCTAGTTTGTCGTACGTAAAATGACAATTGTAGGGCTACGTTTTAACTAACGTTCTACTATGTGAAGCTATAACAAACGAGTCTAAGAAAATTTTGCGGCTTGCTTATGGTTTCGAAATGCACTTCATAGTTGTCATAAAGGACAACATTCCGAAATTTTCAGCTGCTGGTTTTTTTGACATTAATCGAACGACTTTGTGCTATGGTTTTAACGTTGTGGTGACTTTTCTGATAGTGATTGTTCAGTTTGACACGAATAAAAATTCGCTTTGTGAGAAGAGTGACAGCGAGAGTAATTGTGGATAGATGGAATATGGGTTATTTATATTGACAACACGCCTCTAATTATGTCCATAACTGTGTTAATTTGACACTCGGGTGGCAACAGTTCGTGTTAACACACTAAATAAAACATTATGAGTTTCAAGTTGTTGCGACTGCTCTTAGGAATTGGGAAACTTTTAGCCCTTACTCCTTCCTACAGCGAAATAAACTTTCCAAGTCAGTACAAAAGTGGGAAAAAATACGGGTTGTTGATGGTCGCGTTTCTGACTTTTGCCCAAGCGATTTCGATAGTTTACAGATTACCGATTTATGTGGAAATGTCCCCGATGAGGTTAACTACGGAATTTTTCGTGGATTGTACCTTGTATTTAATAAGTATTTCCACAATTGTTGTGTTTCAGTCTAAAAAAGATTTACTGAAAACACTAGTCGACGATCTAAAGACGGTAAAAAATTTTGGCAACGTAAAAGAGAATCGCTATGGTCACTTTATCTCAGTCAACATCTTTTTCTGGTGTTACCAGCTTCACACGACTTACGTGGGTTTGGGGGTGTTGGGTTTCGAGTTCTTGAAGCAGTACGCAATTGAGTACATCTTGCTCTACAACGAGCTTATAGTCAACTTTATTTTTTTTATTTTATTAAAAATGTTACTCAGTAGATACAAAACCCTAACCACTAGACTACAAAACCGCTTAGATTTACTGGAAGAAACTGAAGTACCAAATAACTTTACAAATCCTTATGAAATTAAGAAGGACTTTTGTCGTTTGAAGGAAGCCGTTGACGTTATCAACGCCATATTCGGCTGGCCCTTCTTGTTTACCACCGCATACGCGTCTTTCCAGACCTTGGTGTACCTTCAAGGAATAATTGTTTACAAAAAAATGACCTTCAATGCAACACTATATCTCTTCGTTGTTATTTTTTGGCAATACGTAAGTCGGTGGTGACGATTTCCTTATCTAACTCTGTAATTCCAGACCTGCGTGTTGGTGAACATTTTCCTGTGTGACGATGTCACAAAAGAAGGCAGAAAATGTCTAGACAAGAGTTACACTTTTGCAAAATACGTTTTTGTGGAGACAAAGAGTAAACAAATGCAGATGTTTCTAGTGACTTTAAGAGACAATCTGCCGCAATTTTCCGCCGCGCGATTTTTTCGCATCAACAGAACCACTATTTGCTCTTTTTTTAAGGCCATTTTGACTTTCGTCATCGTGATGGTCCAGTTCCAGGTGGCAAAATGAAACAGAAAATGACTGTAAATTAAATTAATTGTTGCACACTTTGTTGATTTTTGTATATACGTAACGATCTCATTACCGCCCACTGTGTTTATTCAACCAATCGCTGTCATATTTAATGAGTACACACCCTAACGACGCACCATTCCTGAAAACACACTCCACCAAAATGAGTTTCAAGCTCCTGAAAATGGTTTTCAAAGTAGGAAATATTTTAGCAATCACTCCTTCGTACGACGGCGCAAAAACCGAAACCTCGTTCGACAAAATCTACAACTACTGCATGATGGCTGTCATCACAGGTGGATTAGCGATTTCAGTTCGTTACAGAGTGCCCGATTACAGCAACTTTCCTTTCATGAAAGCGGTCGTTCAAGTCCTTTTAGACTCCAGTTTGTACGTCTTAAACATGTATTCAATTCTGGCAGCTCTACGAAAAAAACCGCAGTGGTACAAACTGTTGAAAAACCTCAAAACGGTGCAGACAATCGCAACGAACGAAAATTTACACTGCAGCTCTTTCGTCGTTTTAAACGCGATTTTTTGCACCTACCAGGTTTATATGACGTGGGTGGTGACGTATCACATCGGTTCGAACTTCTACAAGCAATTCGCTATCGAGTACTTACAGTTCTACCACCACTTCGTAGTGAATTATTTGTTGTTTGCGTTTTTGAAAATGTTACTAGAGAGATATCAAAGTGTGTGTAAAAATTTGACCAACCATCTACAACTAGTGAAAAAATTGGAGAAGAACGGGCAAAAGTACACACTTTTGCAACTCAAAAAAATAAAATACGATGTGTGTCTATTGAAAGAGTCCGTCGATATTGTCAACAGCATTTTCGGGTGGCCCATTTTATTAATAGTCGTTTTCACGAGCTTGCAGATGTTGGTGTACTTGGAACAAATCGTTGTGCGGCCTCATATTCCCAGGACCGTAGTAGGGTACATTATTGTCATAATTTTGTGGGATAGTGTAAGTTTTCGGGTGTTTTTGACGCGAATAATTCTCCACTTGCAGATGTGCCTCTTCACTAACATTTTTCTGTGTGATTCAGTCTCCAACGAAGGTGCGACTATTTTAGCGGAAGCTTACACTTTGGAAAAATATTTTACCAACGAAAATAGCAAGAATCACGAAGATCTGCGCAAGTTTATAGACGCGTTGAAGAATAATCTGCCGTGTTTCACCGCCGCGAGGTTCTTTATTATCGACAGGAGCACGGTTTTCGGGATTTTTGACGCCGTTGTCAGTTTTTTGATCGTGATGATTCAGTTTGAGATGAGCCGGAGTTCGAAGGGGGGCTGCCAGGTGTGTTGCAACAACAACAACAACAACAACAACGAAACCAGAATTGATTAATGAAATAATATTTATTTTCCGCAGTGGGGGTTATCTAATCGTGAATAAATATTAAATAAAAAATATCGTTAGAGTCTTAATCCGAGAACACACCTCATTACTGTCAAACTTTTTCCTGTTTATTTTAGCACCTCGTGACGCATAGTGCGTAGATACAGTGATGAGTTTCAAGGTGCTGAAGATAGTCTTCAAGGTGGGGACGATTTTGGGCGTGACCCCCCCATACAACAAAACCAAAACAAGTTGCTTTCGAAAAATCTACCATTATTTTATCATCGCGTTCATCACGTGTGGACTCGGAACTTCGGTTTATTTCCGAAAATCGTCTTACCTCAGATTCTTTTTCCTGAAAGCGGTATCCCAAATCCTTGTGGAGTCCAGTCTCTACTTCCTCAACATCCACGCGGTGTTTGCAGCCCTGCGAAAAAAGCGACAATGGTACAAACTTTTACAAATTTTGAAAACTGTTCAAGCCGAATCCAAAAACGGTTTTCACTGCGTCATCTTCATAGCTTCCAACTTGATATTCTGCGCTTACCAAACCTACATGACTTTAATTGTCACTCGTATCCTCGGTGTCAACTTCTACAAACAATTCGCTATTGAATACTTACAACTATACAACCAGTTCATCGTCAATTACCTGTTGTTCGTTTTTTTGACAATGTTGCTGGACCGATACCAACGTCTAGGCGACAACTTGAAGAAATTAAAGACCAGTGGATACCAATATTCGTTGTGTGTGGTCCACGAAGCCGCATACGACGTCTGTTTGTTGAAAGAGTCGGTCGACATTTTGAACGACATCTTCGGCTGGCCCATTCTTCTAACCGTCGCTTTCACGGGTTTGCAGATGCTGATCTACCTCGAAATTACGATAGTTATACCTCGTCTGGGAGGAGCAGTGATTAGTTACATCGTCGCGATAATTCTATGGCACGGGGTAGGTTTTCGGGGTTCAATTGACGTTTTTTAATTTTTGGATTGTAGGTGTGCACTTTCGGCAATGTCTTTTTGTGTGACTTGGTGGCCAACGAGGCGAGGGAGCTTCTAGCGGAAGTTCACAGTTTGGAGAAGTATTTGTCGGATGGTGACAAGAATCGGGAGGATCTGCGGCGGTTTGCGGGTGTGTTGAGGAATAATCTTCCGAGGTTCACGGCGGCGAGGTTTTTTGGTGTTGATAGGACCACAATTCTTGGGACTTTTCAAGCTATTGTTACGTTTTTGATTCTGATGATTCAGCTGGATATTTCGGCTTATTAGATGTTTGTTTGAAAGTAAAATTTATTGTGTGGATATAATTGTGTGTAATTTTTTCAAAACACTTCCGTATAATACAGTAAGATCGCCTCTGCAATCGAGAGAGAAGAAAAATCAAGGAGATATAGGGATGGAGGAGGGCAAGAAGATGATCAGCGAACTTGCGACACAAATCAGAGATGATATGAGAGAAAGTAATAAACAATGATTGAAGGAATGGAATAGGCAGCTTAAAGAGGAGGTTAAACCAATAAGGGAACAAAATCAAGCAAAACAAGAATTTAAGGGGTCGTCAATTTACATAAATGATGATCTGACGAAAACGGAAAGAAAAATTCAAAACAACATAAAAGCAGAGGCAACAAAAGAGAGAAATAAAGGAAAAATGGTTAGAATGGGATATAAAAAGTTAACTGTTGAGGGCAGAAATTTTGAATGGAATGAAGAAGAGGGCAGGCTCAAAAAGGCAGAAAATTTTTAGTAAAGAGTCAAAAGAAAAGGAAGAAAATGAGAAAAAATGGAAGCTGGTACAAAATTAGGAGAAAAAGGGGTGAAGATACCGTTTAGGAAAGTCCAAGGGTTGCGAAAAAAGGAAAAGGAGTTCTGGGACTACGTGGGAAAATTTGATATTGTGGGGCTAGTAGAGAGTTGGGTACAAAGAGAAAACAAAGACACTACCACAAGAATTTGTAGGAGAGCAAGCGGGGGAATAGTAATGGGAATTCGAAAAGAAATGCAAGAATTGGGCGATAAGGGACAAGAATAATTGATAAAGAAAAGAGAGAGAAAAGAGGATCAAAAGATAAAGGAAATAACAAAGAAGGGAAAATATTGTGGCAGATAATAGAAAAAATGGGATGGGTAACTTTGAATGGAAACAAGGAAGGAGATGGAGAAGGAGAATAGACGTAAATAGAGAGTCTCAAAGTTGGGGACAGGGTAGAATCAGACCACATGCCACTAGAAATAAAAATTAAAGGAAAAGGGCAACAGTACGAAAAACAAGAGAGAACAAACGAAAGAAAAGAAATAGAAAAAAGAATATGGGATGAAGAGGGAATTCGAAGATCCAGAAGTAGACTAGAAAAAAAGAAATTCGAAGTAAAAGAAGATATAGAAGCTATGATATCAGAACTGATCATACTAATTGAAGAAGCCACGGAAAAAAGAAAGATATACATATGGCAAGGGACGAATAATGGATGAAATAGAAAATGTAGTGAGTTGAAGAGAAAAGCAAGGGAAAAATTAAGGAAATGGAAGAATAACAAGGGAAGGAAAGAAGAGTACTTAAAAGCAAAAGAAAACGGGAAGAAAGAAACCGAGAAAAACGAGAAGAAGAAAAGAAGACAACAAAGTCACTGAAAACAGAAGAAGAAGTATGGAGATATATAAATAAGAAACGGAGAAGGAAGACTGAAGTCAGTAGGAAAATCAAAATACATGAATGGAAAAGACACTTTATGGAATTATTGGGAGGTTGTGAGGAAAAATGTGGAGAGATTCGGAAATACCAGAAAATTTATTAGGAAGACAGATTGAAGGACTGAAAAGAGGAAAGGAATTCAGAACGAAGCGAAGAAATATGTGAAGAAACAGTAAATATGGTGAGAGTGAATGGAATAGAGAGCGAGAGTTTTTATACAAATAGAGGAGTGAGACAGGGATGCCCACTCAGCCCCGCATTGTTTGCAGCTTATCTAGGAAGCACAGACAGGAGGGGGGTAAAGGGCAAAAAGAGACTGTGGTCGTTGGCGTACGCAGATGATTTGGTTATTGTGCCAAAGAAAAGAGAAGAAATGAAAACAATGATTAAAAGTTTCGAGAAGTATGTACAAAAAAGGAATTTGAAGTGAATGTGGAAAAAACAAAAATGGTGGGAAGAACATTGAACAGGTGAAAGAATTCCATTACTTAGGATATACATTAAAGAGTAATAACTGAGATAGAGCGCATATTCAAGAAATGATCCGAAAAACGAACAAAGTAATAGGAATAGTATGGGGAATAGGAGAGAGAAAATTTGGACATGATTACAAGAGAAGAATGATGATATTTGATAGTTTGATCGAAAATGTATTTATGTACGGAGCTGAGATTTGGGGATGGAGGGAATATGAAGAAATAGAGAGAGTGCAAAAAATACTTGAAATAGACATTGTGATTGGAAAAGTGTACGCCGGGGTATATAGTGAGAGAAGAAACGAAAAGGAAGAAAATGAGAGTGGAAGCGGGTAAAAGGGGGGTTGGATTTGAAGAGAAGTTCAGTGAGAGAGGTGATTGTAAAATATTGCAAGAATGTTGGAAAGGAATAAGAAAGGAGTATGAACCCAAGCAGCAGACTGTCGTCTAATTCACGTCAATTTTTGGTCATAATTCGTCGGCGACGTCATTCGCCCAAAAAATCACGCGAAAATGACAATATTTCCAGTTGGTTCTCAACCACCGAAACTTTCTCGTGTATCCGTTACTCACTTCATTTTTAACGCAGTTTTGTGAAAATTTATGCCATTCAGTGTGGGTTGTACTTATTTATACTAGGTAAGTTAATATCTAATAAAATAATCATTTTAATTTTTACGCGTTTCTGTTATTTTTGATAACTGTACGTAGATAACAAAAGCAGTTTTTTCAGATATGCTGGAAAGACCACCATTAATCACTGAAGATACCCCCACTGATTATGAAGAACTTACGGTGATTGTTTTTGAAAATAAGGCGCTATAAAATATTGCAAAGGTATGTTACTGCCATTTTTTGTGAACTAATGTTAATGAACGTAATTTTATTTTAGATTTGAACCAAATACGAAACACATGTGCGAAACGAAAGAAATGCTAAAGGAAACGAGTGAAAAAATCTCCAACATGGAAACGTCATCAAATCTGACAACTGAAAAAGAAAACAAAAATAGAAGTTATGCCGCCAAAACCACACCTAAACAAATTTTGACGAATTACAAGATTATGTTTGCATATTAGAACAACCTAATTTAAGTCCAACGTATTTATTAATAGAACGTCTTAGTAGCTGTAACGACATATTTATCAGAGCAAAATGTAAGCTATGATAAGCTTTTTGATAAATATGTTTGCATAAACAGCTCATTCATAATCTTTCATCTGCCTAGATTAAAGTATGGCGAAAAAAATGTGGTTATTTTTTTTTAGTTATTTTTTTGGAAATGCATTAATTTTAGCCGAAGTGGTCACATTAATTAAAGACAATAGTATTACTTGTGTTTTAACAGAAGATTCCGTTAATTCAACTATATACCTAAGAAATATAAATTCCCGTGTAAAACTTGAACGAACGACTCAACAAATAACCAATATATATGACGATGATTGGCAATGGACAAATTCGAGTGTTGACTTTAGGCCAGTACTTGACCAACGGTGGACAAGTAAGTAAAGCACACATCAAAAGGACATTTCTATAGTGTTTCTCAGATTTTAGTGCAGACACTAAAGTTACAGACCGATTCTCATTGTGTTTAAAACAAGATTCGACAATTATTTTACATGACATGACTTACCAACATTTTACAAACATACCAATACGAAATGTGAGTATGTGACAAAAACCCATTTCTTAAGTTCACTAATTTTCCACTTTTAAAGTTGCATGGCCTCTTCACCGCTTGTCAGTGGGAGCACTACGAAATAAAAAAAAATAGTACACATGTGAGTTTAGTCAACTCTGAAAACAAGAATGTTGTTAATGTAACAAAACTGGACTTTGAACCGGGTTGGTTAACAGTGTCTCCAAACAATTTAAATATCAAAGTACATCGATGTAAGAACGCGATCCTAAGATAACAATCAATAATATAGCTATATTTTTCAGATCAATTTCGATCCTCTAAAACACCTAGCACAAAACCATCATACATTAACATAACATCTATGAGCTGCGTCTCTTTTTATGTTTCTGTTGATGAAGGATGTTATCTGAACATTTCGGTACAACCAGGAAATAGCATTATAAACATAGGTGCAACTAACGAGAAGAACAAATTAAAAGAATGGAAAAAATACGAAATAAGGACTGATCCTAAAGCGATTAATCAAACGCTTTCGATTGACAGAGGACGAGACGACAATGGTACCAAGGGTTATTGGGCAATTGATGATATACACAGTTGTAGTTCCGAAACAGGTAGACACTTTTGTGGAAATTCTGGGATATCATAACACCAATTTTCAGTTATTTATCGAACCAGATTGGATCCGTCCTTGACTAACCTGACGTGTGCGGAACTAAAACCAACGAACTCTTCAAATGCACCTTGCGACAAAGCCTCTCTAGGAGAAAAATGTAACATTAAATGCGATGAAGTTTTGGGACCGAAATATCCCAATTGTGAACAACATCGAATATGTTCGTCAGAAAATAAATGTCACTGTGCTTGGGGTTTCAAGGGAGAAAACTGTAGAGAAGGTGTTACGTAAACAACTGAAAACAGTTAAAATAACTATTTCTTATTTTAGAATGTGAAGAAGATTTTTGGGGATTAGATTGTTCGAAAAATTGTACTAACTGCGAAAAATGTGATAGCAAAATCGGCTGTGTAAAATGTAGGACACCGTACTTCGGACAACGATGTGTATATAAACTCCCCGTGGCCAAAAAGCCACCTGTTGTACAATCAATTGACGACGATTCGGTACAACTTTTAGTAAACTTTGAACATGGAGAAAACGAAACGGAACCCGAATTTTATTATGTTCAGTGGAAAAATGGCCAGCTTGACAGCAACCATGGGTTCAGAAATTACATAGACCATCCGTTCCCTATTAAGGAAAATAATATATCGTATTCAATAAACATTTCACGGAATTATTCCTACCGATTTAGAATAATATTGGTCAGCCATAATTTGTCTTCTGAACAAGACAACATCCCGGAATTGATCATACACAGAAGTGAGTAACCTAAATTATCATAATGCTATAATCAAAGCTATATATTTAATACTTTAAAAATACATTTTTAGAATCCTTGACTGCACATATAAATGACAATAATACGATCGTATTAAATTGGACTAAACCTGATAACCGTGAAATTGATAGTTATAAAATAACACACAAGGTATGATTTAGACAACAGTTCTCTTTTCTTGAATGCCACACTATTTTAGTTGAGTTTCCTTCCTCTACTTAATTCTTTCAATTTAAGTGCTCACACCTGCTTACTTTTTAGTGTCAAAAATCACTATGTTCTCCCAAATCACAGGAAAACTCTGACACCACAAACACAACAACAGTCGAACTGACCCTAAAAGACGTTCAAATATGCACCATCAAGTTATTCATTACAACAAATGGAAACGACGAACTCATAGACCAAACAACTGTGAAGTTTCCAAATTCAGCGAACGAAATATGCAACAGTTTCACCGGACTGTTGACTTATTCAACCGAACTTATCATTCTAATACTAATATTAAGTTTAATATTTGTTGCTTTAATGATAATTTATTACAAGTTAGTACATTCCTTGTTTAACAATTTTACACAATATTAATATTGTAGGTGCAAATTTAAATCTAAAGTTAGAGCTACAAACATTATGGAGCTTTTAGAAAAACAAACACTAATCGACAAAAGTAACCAAAATGAGGTTTCTTTAGGATCTGTGGAAATTAATGAATTCTCAAATTACCTCTTCTCCTCATTACGACAAAATACGGATCATGAATTGATAAGACAGTTTCAGGTAAATTCGGAAATAGTGACTACGAATTGAAGAATTACATTTTTAGGAGGCATCAACAACAAGAGACATGGATTGCATTCATGGCCAGTTAAGCGAAAACGTCAATAAAAATCACTTCAAAAATATCTTACCATGTAAATGTTAAATCCAACAAAACTCGGGACAACGTAAATTAAAAATACTTTTCCAGATGACGACACCAGAGTGATTTTGAATGATAGCGAAGACGGGGACTACATAAACGCAAACTACGTTGACGTAAGTAATTTTCAGCTGTAAAAATTTGAAATAACACATTTCAAAGGGCTACAAATCACCGAAAGCGTACATCGCCACCCAAACTCCTTTAGCATGCACCGTGCACGACTTTTGGTCCATGGTATACCAACAAAAGGTAAAAATCATAGTCATGTTGTGCACTCTAGATGAGCAAAAGTGCACTAAATGCCAAAAGTACTGGCCGGACGATTCTTCCCACTTCAGACATGGAATGTTCTTGATAGAGAGTGTTTCCGTTACTCAAAAATCGAATTATATCCATCGCATATTTTACTTGAAGTGGAACAACAAGACTCGTACAGTTCACCAGTTTCAGTACTTATCCTGGGCTATGAAAGGCGTACCGGCGTCTGTTAAAAGTTTTACTGGCTTTGTAAAACAACTAATCGAAGTGAGTGATAAAAAATATCCTGTTGTCGTCCACAGCGAGTAAGTTCGTTTAAAATTGTGGAAGCTATTTAACGATGATTATTTAGAGGAGGATGTGGAAGAACAGGAGTATACATTTTGTGCGACATCGTCATACGAATGAGCATTGAAGAAAAGGAAGTCGATTTTCTTAAAACACTAAAGAAAATACGAAGTCAAAGAAAGGATTTAGTGAGCAATTTGGGTCAGTACATTTTCTGTCATTTCGTGCTTTTGGAGTACCACTTTGGGGATAACTTATCGAAAAACTTGGTGTTGCAAATTGAACAAGCTATGGAAGAAACTGCCATCAAACGATTCGTCGATCGCTTAGATGAAGCTACAAAGCAGTGCCGTTCGACAATTTGCCAAAGTAGGTAAAGTAAATTTAATCTACTAGAAAAGTAATACATTTTCTATGTAGATGACAACATCAGAGCTATCGCCGCGGACTGCTTTAATTATCCCAGAAAATTCATCGTAACACAAGAACCTTCATCAGATACCCTACACAGTTTTTGGAATCTAGTCATAACCAAAGAAGTCGAGATAGTACTGTGGTTAAATCGACCACAAGACAACGACGAGGTAAACATTTAAATATTCCTAAGTAACCCTTAAACAATTACACATTATCATCTAAGAACTACTCAAGTTTCTGGCCTAACGACTCCCTCCAAAACTGGTCTGTTAACGAATCAAACAAACTCGTTTTCCTTTATGAAGATAACGGTGACATATACAGCACAATTGCTGTCAAAATCGCCACCATTGGTAATTCTGGAGAAAAATTCGTTAAAATTATATACCTTAAAACTTGGGAACGTACAAGCGCTACGCCTTCCAACCCTAAAGACATAATCCAGGTTTACGACGAAATTTTGTCGCACAATGGGCGGATTGTTGTCGCGTGCCAGTAAGTAAAACATTGACTTTTAATTTTTCTTTACGTTGTTAATTTTGAAGCGATGGGACAACAGCCGGTGGGCTTTTTGTAGCCTTGGTCTATTTATTCGAAAAAATGAATACGCACCGTTCTTGCGACGTTTTTGAAGCCGCTTACACAACTAAACAAAGCTGTGTACGATTTTTAAAGAAATCGGTAAGTTCTTTGGCTGTGTGTTTTTGATTTTTAGTCATTTTTGTTTTAGGAACAAATTAGGTTTCTGTATGAAGCAGCTTTGGAATATGCTCGAGAAGTTAATATTTATGAAGTGGTGGGTTAAATAAATTAAGCTGATGTTTAACTCATTTACTCTTATACGCTTGTATGGTATAAATAATAACAAAGACTATAGTGATTCACAGGTTTTTTTATTAATTTGCCATATTTTATCAGAGGATACACAGAAGAAGTAAATATTCGAAAATAAATTACGTAAATATTGACTTCAAAAATAAGTGCACAGCTATTTGGCTAATACATTAAAATGTATGACCGTATCTGTTACAATGTAAATAAACTACTTTAGTCGTATTTTAAAAATAACATAAGATAAGAAGTAAATTTTTTGTGATTAAAAATATTTTCAAAGTTCTTTTTCCAAGTACTTACTATTTAAAAATTGATATGACTCTTAATATAGGAGTATTTGATTTCGTTGTTATCGATCTATCGTTAATACAATCATTAAAAATTCAAATTATTCTGCTGAGATTATAGTGTGGCTAGCAAGAAAATGTGGTTAACGGTAAGAAAAATGTAATACAAATAATTTTATAACGACTAATAAAGACCATACAGGTTTATTCCTTTGAAATTACACAATATATTTAGTTTGTTATTATTATTTACGCAACAGTAGGAAAATATTAATAATTTTAAAAAGAACCTAACTGATAACGAAATTTAATATTTCTTTCTAAAGATAGGACTTAAAAATACAAGCAAGTAGTCACATTGACAACATAACAAGCACATTTTTTTATTAAGTTTAATCAAAGTGCCTTCAGTGAGTCACCGAAACTGACTTAAATAAATCCATATTGATTTAAAAACTACGTGTGTAACTTGTTACTTAATACATTAAAATAAATAATAATATTTTTTATTGGTTAGGTAAACTAAAAAACTTTACCCAGCAAACACTGCTGTTTAAAACTGATATGACTGATTATATATTTAATTTTGCTTTTTTTGCTGGTAGGTAGGATCATACTGCGTGTAGAAAGAAAATGAAGTTAAATTTGTACAATTATGTATTCGCGAGTGTGTTAATTTCAGCCGAAGTAATAACGTTAATTAAAGATAGCAATATCACGTGTGTTTTAACAGAAAATTCTGTTAACTCCACTATATACGTAACAAATGCCGATAACCTTGTAAAACTTAAACGGACAATTCCTGAAATAATCCATATATATGACGATGATTGGAAATGGACAGGGTCGAGTGTTGAGTTTCGGACAGTACTTGACCAACGTTGGACAAGTAAGTAAAGCACACATCAAAAGGACATTTCTATAGTGGTTCTCAGATTTTAGAGCAGACTTTGTGAGATCTAGAGACCGATTCTCATTGTGTTTAAAACAAGATTCGACAATTATTTTACATAACAAGAATTACGAACACTCTAAAAAAATACAAATAAGAAATGTGAGTATGTGACAAAAATGCATTTCTTAAGTTCACTAATTTTCCGGTGTTAAAGTTGAATGGCACCGACTCCGCTTGCCAGTGGCAGCACTACGAAATAAAAAATACTAGACATGTAAGTCTAGTCAACTCTGAAAACAACAATGTTGTTAATGTAACAAAACTGGACTTTGAACCGGAGTGGCTAACGTTTTATCCAGACAATTTAAATAGAAAAGTACATAAATGTAAGAAGTTGACCATAATAAGATAACAACCAATAATATAGCTATATTTTTCAGATCAATTTCGATACTCTAAAACACCTAGCACAAATCTAACATACATTAACATAACATCATTGAGTTGCGTCTCTTTCTATGTTTCTGTTGATGAAGGATCTTATCTGATGATTTCGGTACAACCAGCAAACAGCATTACAAGAATAGCTGGATTTAACGAGAAGAACAAATTAAAACAGTGGAAAAAATACGAAATAAGGACTGATCCTAACGCGATTAATCAAACGCTTTCGATTGACAGAAGACGATGCGACAACGGTAAAGAGGGTTATTGGGCAATTGATGATGTACATAGTTGTAGTTCTGAAACAGGTAGATTTTTTGCTAAATTAAACTAAAGATCGCATCGAATATTTCCGTCTTGAAATACGCGAATAAAAATCTTAACTATAAAATGATTTTCAGTTATTTATCGAACAAACTTGAGTACACCCTGGACTAACCAGACGTGTGCGGAACTAAAAAAAACGAGTTCTTCAAATGAACTTTGCAACAATTCCTCTCTAGGAAAAAAATGTAACATTAAATGCGATGGAGTTTTGGGGCCGAAATATCCCAATTGTGAGGAACATCGAATATGTTTGTCAGAAAATAAATGTCACTGTGCCTGGGGTTTCAAGGGAGAAAACTGTAGAGAAGGTGTTACGTAAACAACTGAAAACAGTTAAAATAACTATTTCTTATTTTAGAATGTGAAGAAGATTTTTGGGGATTAGATTGTTTGAAAAATTGTATTAACTGCGAAAAATGTGATAAGAAAACCGGATGTCAAAAATGTAAGGCACAGTACTTCGGAGAACAATGTGTGTATAAATTTCCCGTCGTGAAAAAGGCACCTATTTTAGAACCTAGCGACGACGAGTCGATAAGAATTTTAACAAATATTGAATATGGACGAGACGAAGAAACGCCAGAACATTATTATATTCAGTGGAAAAAGGTATATTACACCTACTGTAAGTTGTTGCTTGTTTTTATGTAATGTTGCTAGCTTGACAATGGTGGGTTCAAAAATTACACAGACCAACAATTCTCCATTACAAAAAATAATGAATCGTTCCCAACAAACATTTCGCGGGATCATTCTTATCAGTTTAGAATAATATTGGTTAGCCATAATTCATCATTTCAAGAAGGTACCATCCCGAAGTTAACCGTATATAAAAGTAAGTAACTAATCCAATAATACAACACAGGGTGTTTTTGAAAGATATGTAAAAAAAGTAACGGGAAATTGGACATGAGAACACATGTCATAAACTCAAAATCACCTCAAATTAATTTTCCGTTTTTGAGACAAACTAAAAAATCGATCAAAATTTAGCATGCGCTACTGATTTATGGCAATTCGTTGTTTGTTAAGCAACATTTGCGGCGGGCTAATTTTATTTTCAGGTAAAGAAGAATACTTGTGGTTTGCCAAAAGAAAGAAGAACTTTCAAAGAGCTTTTCTTGAAAAATTCAAAGTTATGCAAATGCCGAAATGACCGACGTGGTCTTTAATGTACGGCAGAACATTTGGAAATGGTATTGAAACTTGAAGCTTTCTCCAGTCGGAATTTACCAGACCATGGAACTTTCAATGCCGTTGTTCAGCATCTCCGAAAAACTGCTAATCTCTTTTCTAAAAAACTTGACAGGCGAGAAACAAATTTTGACTTTTTACATGTCAATGTTCACTATATTATTTTTCAAAATGGGCGCGAAGGTCAAGGACACGCAAAACCCAAAAATTTACTCTTACTGTGTAGTTTAGTATTTTTTTACACCTCCTTATTTTACTTTATCGACAATGCAATAGTGACTGATCTGTCACTTGAGACGCCAAGAACCGCATTAATTTTGAATCGTTTCTATGAGCGCGTTCTATCGCAATATTTATGATAGATTATGTTCTTACGGAGTGGGGAAGTTAGAAGAACAATTTAAAAGCACCCAGCAGAGATCCTAAAGGAACAGATTTATAAATATGCCCAGGATAAATGGTATGGCAGTGACGAGAGCAAGAGGAATTATCCACCTATTTTTCAATATTCCTACCACTGTCAGTATAATCCAATTGAACTGGCGTGGGGACAGTGTAAACTATATTACAATAAACATATTCGGGAACACGGTGGTGCTATTGGTGTTGTACAGTCCTTATGGCGGGAGGCTCTTGCTACAGTAGGTGCAGAAAAATGGCAAAATTTTATTAGACATTGTGAACGGCTGATCAGGGATGATTGGAAGCGTTTAATGGGTAATGCACCATATGAAGACATACCCCCAATCATAATTTCTCTCGATTCTGATTCTGAATCAGAATGTTTTTCTAATAACTTGTCAGCTTGTCACTTTTTCATTTGGCATTTAATGTCAACAACAATCAGCATTAAGCCCTCAATGCAAACGGCTCTAAAGTCCTTGCTATGTACAGCAGCAGTGTTGAAACATGAGAGTGAAAGCAATGTAAATTCTGTGTTTTCTGTTATATAACATACTATTTAGTTACATTTTCTTTTGTTTACAATATTATAGACGAATACAACACAGATGTACAACAAAACGTGTTGTTTACTGTAACGTCCGCGACCCTACAGTTTTGCGAGGGTTGTGATCTCCGCTAACTACACTGGTAAGTTGTCGACCTTGAAATTTGCTTAAATTTTGAAAAATAATATAATATTTTAGACTAGTTGGTTGGAATCAATTAATTATGCACACCTTGCATTTTGTTAATATTTGTCAATGGCGCACTAAAAGTGTAGTATAGGGGTATTTTTTTTGTGAGATTGATACAATGATAAAAGTTTTGTATGATTTTTTAAGACGGTTGAATATACCAATTTTTTTGGATGTCTTTAAAAACACCCTATAGTTAAAAGATTAAAAAGACAATTTTAGAATCTTTGACTGAACATGTGAAAGACAATGATACGATCATATTAAACTGGAGTAAACCTGATCTAGATGAAACTATTACGTGCAAGATAACACATAAGGTATAAATGTCGCCAATATAATAGCACAAAATGTTTTGAATTCTGTTTCTATGCTTAGCAAGTTTCCTCTTCGTCAAACCTCTGCACGTTTCAAAACTTATGCATTTTTTTACAAAAATTCTTTACTTTTTTACTATCTCTATATTTCTTTACATTCAAAAGTGCCGATCTCTGTATTAATAAATGTACTAGTGTTTGTAAAGTGAACATTCTGTTTCGTGGACGATATCTATATTCATCACCCTAATTTTTACTTATCTTTTTCTGGGTAAATTGTTGTATTACCTTTTGTAATTATTTAACTTTACCTTTTTGTTGTTTTTTTGTGTACGCGATGTCTCTTTATTTTTCTTCTTTCGCTAGAGTTGTAAATTAATGTTGAGTGACACAATCTATGATTTTGCTCTTTTCTGTTTTGTATTTAATTATACTTTTTAATAAGATTATGCTCTTGAATCTGTTTACATTTTTAGTGTAAAAAATCATTCTGCGCCGACGAAGCAAACGAAAAATATAACACCACATCTAAAACAAGTATCGAACTGACTATAACACACTTTAAAATATGTACCATCAAGTTGTTCTTTACAAAATATGGAAGCGATGAATTCATAGAGCAAAGAACTGTGATACCTCAAATTTCAACGAAGGAAATATTTCCCGCAGAATTACCAAGAAATGTTATCTTCTTGAAAAATCAAATCGTCCTCGAATTAAACAAATGTGACAGTTTTACTGGACCGTTGAAATATTTAATTGAACTTATATGCACAAGCGAGTGGTGTGCACATAAATCTACTAAAATTGATCCCTATCATTTACTAAATTACTTAGCTAACATTACTAGAGATGTAAAAGATTTATCACCATTTACAGAATACAGCATCATAGTAATTGCGAAAAGGACTGGTCAGCATGACAAAAAACAAACTTATTTAACGAAATCAATGCCGTCAGGTGAATGAGCATTTATCTCTTTAAAATTAACAAATTCATCATTTTTGTTTATTGCAGCACCACAACCAGTGAATAGTTTACATATATATTCTAATGACGAAGACACTTTATTTATAAGATGGAAGGAATCATTTCCACCAACAGGAAAAATAGAAGCCTACAATGTTGCTCTCAGCGATAACACGTCAATTCTTACTACAACGAATCGTACGTTTTCTTGCGAAATGTGGCCCGAATTTCAGTGCACAAATATACCTCGGGGAAGAAAAGTTAGCGTTTACCAAGTGACTGTGAGTTTATAAGAACATTATAATGTTCGTTTTCTAAAAAAAATTAAGTCAGTTTTCACAGTTATATGTATATAAAATGACATAAGTTTGAAGTTGTATCTAATAAAAACACTGTCTTAGGTTCACGTAAAAAACTACGAAGTTGCTGAATGGAGTGAGTCTAGTTTTACTGTAAATGTCGAAAATGGTTCGTTTTTTATTTGTGTAAACATAATTAATCAATTTGAGTTTGTAGTAACTCAAGCACCTCAAAATTTGCGGATCGAATTAAGTCCACAATCAACGAACGAAGTGATACTCAGATGGGAGTACCCACTTTACACACATGGAAAAATTGAAAAATTCCGTACAGTACTAAACAGCAGCAGTGGGACAGAACATGATACGATCCAAGTTTTCAAAGAGATAAACTATAACAAAACTGTATAATACTCTACATTTCTTCTACACCAGTCAAACCGTGATTGTTTCAGATTAAAATCAGGTATGGTGAAAGATACAAGTTCACTGCTTGGGCACAAAACGCTCATGATGGTGAAAAAACAGCGATTTATTTCGTAGTCTCTAAACCCATTTCTAAATTGTCAAATGAAGCTTTTATATTATGGTGTAGAGAAGAATGTCGTTTAGTAAAATCAAAATCAAGATCACAAGTAAATACGAATTACAACATTACAATAAAACAACATAATGGAATCACAGAGGAACACGAAGCGAAAGGATTAATTTTTCTTTCGAAAGATAAAATTCTATGCATGGAAAATAATCCACCATGCGACATCCATTCAGAATTCCAAGACGTGGCATATCAATCTTATTTTCTAAAAACAGACCGTGAAGAAATTCCTATCGAATTTACAGCTACTGAAAAAAGGAAGATTATTATTATTCCGGCAGTTGTGCCAAGTGTAATCCTTCTCGTTGCCTTACTTGTAGGGATATGTTATTATAGGTTAGTACACTCATTATTATCAATTAAGTTTAACAATTTCAGTACCTACATTAACGTTGTAGATACAAACTTAAATCTAAAGTTTCAAAAGTTCCTGAAATGATTGAAGTTAAAGAAAAAGAAACATTAATCAACACAAGTAACCAAACAAAGATTTCCTTTGGGCCCGTGGACATTAATGAATATGCAGTTTACCTTTTTGCGTCATTACGAGACGATATTTATCAAAGTTTACTTACACAACAATTTCAGGTAAATTCAAAAACAGCTAACACGAATTTAAGAACTACATTTTTAGGAGGTACCAACAAGAAAGGCTGCAGATTGTATCCACGGCCGGCTAAACAAAAACGTCCATAAAAATCACTACAAGGATATTTTGCCATGTAAGAAAATGTTCTACATAAAATAACTTTTATCGAAAGAGTCAGAGCACACGGAACCCCAGCTCATTTATTATTTTCCAGATGACGACACGAGGGTGATTTTGAACGATAACGAAAATGAGGACTACATAAACGCAAACTACGTTGATGTAAGTACATATTTATTTGTACCATTTTAAAACAGCAATTTCCAAAGGGCTATGAACACCCGAAAGCATACATCGTTACTCAAACTCCTTTAACGTCTACCGTTCACGACTTTTGGTCAATGATATGCCAAGAAAACGTAAAAATAATAGTCATGTTGTGCAAGCTGGAAGAGAAAGAGTGCAGTAAATGCCAAAAGTATTGGCCAAACGATTTTTCTCACTTTAGGTTCGGATCGTTCTTGATAGAATGCGTTTCCGTAACGCAAAACTTGAATTACATCCACCGAATCCTTGAGGTGAAGAAAAAAAATAAGACTCGTAGAGTTCAGCATTTTCAGTACCTTACCTGGACTATTCAAGGCATACCCTCGTGTGTTAAAACCTTTACCGCTTTTGTAAAGGAGTTAATCGGATTACGGGATCAATATCCTGTTGTCGTTCATAGCGAGTAAGTCGACTTAAGACTTTGAAAACTTATTAACAATAATTATTTAGAGGAGGTTGTGGAAGAACAGGAATGTACATTTTATGCGACAGTGTTATAAGAATGACCATGAAAGAAAAGAAGGTCGATTTTTTTCAAACGCTAAGTAAGATGAGATATCAAAGGGACGGTGTGGTGAGTAATGTGGATCAGTACATTTTTTGCCACTTTGTGCTGTTGGAATTTTACTTTCCTTCTTCGAACGCGTCGAATAATTTTGTGTTGGAAATTCAACAAGGTATGCAAGAAACTGCTATAAAACGTCTCGTCGATCGCTTAGACGATGCTGTAAGGCAAACCCGTAATGACAAAGATAGAGGTTTTATGATTTCTGAAGGTAGGTACACAATATTTAAGTATTCAGACATAAAACACTGCTACATTTCCCGTTGTATGCAGACAACAGGTCCAACAACATGAGACCTATATCTGTGGACTGCTTCAATTTTCCCAGAAGATTCATTGTAATAGAAGAACCTTCACAAAATACTTTACGCAGTTTCTGGAATCTAGTTATAAGCCACGAAGCCGAGATAGTAGTATGGTTAAATGGAACAAATCACAACCACGAGGTAAATATGTATATGTTCCTAAGTATTAATATTACACATTATCACCTAAGGACTATTCAAGTTTCTGGCCTAAAGACGCTCTTCACTGGTTTGTTAACGAATCAAATAAACTCGTTTTCGTTTGTCAAGACGACAGTAATGATATATACAACACAATCACTGTTAAAATCGATACAATTGGAAAGTCTGAAGAAAAATTCGTTAAAATCTTATACGTTAAAACCTGGGAACGTACAAATGCTACGCCTTCGAGCACAAAAGACTTAATTCAAATTTACGACAAAATTGCACCATACAACGGGCAAATTGTTGTCGCGTGCTAGTAAGTAAAATATTAAAGCTTGAATTCTGTTCACACTGCTGTTAACTTTACAGCGATGGAACAACAGCTAGCGGCCTTTTTGTAGTATTGGTTTCATTGTTGGAGGAAATTAATAAGCATCGTTCTTGCGACATTTTTGAGGCCGCCTACACCGCCAAACGAAGCTGTGCTGAGTTTTTAAAAAATACTGTAAGTGTTTTAACTTTATGGTAGTAGTTTTAAGTCGTTTCTGTTTTAGGAACAAATCAGATTTCTCTACATGGCAGTTTTGGAATACGTTCGAGAATTTAACGTTTATGAAGTTCTACCTTAGATAAATTAAGTTGATGTTTAACTCGTTTACTATACCTACACCGAATGACTATTAATGGCTGTGATCTTTTTGTCAGGTTGGCAAGCTATTTAAAATTTTATGATGGTATATCTGACCGTCAAAGTGAGTTTTATGACAACTACCATCATCTCAACCAATCAACACGTTTGTTAGACGTGCTCATATCAAAACCGATAACCGTCATGGAGGTAGAATAAGAGGAGGGAAGATAGTTTGAAAGGGCGTGTGGCATCGTCCTTTCGACTGTCTTTTCCAGCTCCTCCGAGAAACTGGTTGTTCCAGTGGTGTGCTCGAAAACGCTTGTCGAGGGACTGGACATATGATGATTAAATAAATATATGTCAATACTGTACATGTATTTAATCAGTGTCAATGGTAAAGGTCATGAATGGATAAGGATCAAATTCTTTTGCTACTTGCTACCTGTTGATAATGTAGTACGGAAAGGGTCATAAATGGTTATTACGTGGAGCCCTTTGTCGGCGGTTCTTTAACATTGGTTAAATGAAGCATGCTCCCTCCTGTCATCCTATCTCCATGATAACTGTGAACTAACTAACATCGATGCCAAATTCAGAATTGCTAACACAAAAATTTGCTTCTATCATTAATAGTCACCCGGTACATATATCTAACACGAAATAATTATATTGTTCCGGTTCGAAGTTTGTTTAAAATTTTGTTTTGATTTTGTTTGTTTTCCCGCGGATTGCTGACAAGTGTATTTTGGTCACTTTCCACTAGAGGCGCCATAGTACCGAGCAAAAGGGCCCGGTACTTGGGGTTGGCGCTGTTATCGAAGAGAGTCATCGAGAAACCCTCAGAGAGGTAACATCGCTAAGGTGGGCGTTAAGTGAACGCAGTTGCCATCTTGTGTGACGTCAATCGCGAATTGTTGTCGCGAAACTTAGACACGTGGTTCCTTTGTGCATGCGGTCTACAAACCCTCAACCCAGGAGGCTGAACAAAACAAGGTAGGTGACCTTTTGATGCGTTTGTCAGCTTCGATCCAAATTTTAATATATTTTTTTGGAATTGTAAAATCGCCGCGAAAAAAGGTGTTTTCAAAGCCTTTACGTCCAACATATATAAATAAAAAGATCATAGTAATTTACAAGTTTTTTATCAATTTGGCATAGTTTAGCAGAGCATCTAACAAAAGAAGAAATAATGTTATAAAATCTGCGAAAATAAATTGCGTAAACATTGACTTGAAAAATAGGTGTGAGAAGCACTGACTCAGGGCGCCTGTTTTTATCCCCTCCACTTTCACGTGCTAGAATTGTGTCAGGACCGGGCTTGAGATGAGAGAGTTTACCTGATTATAGACAAATTGACGTTGGTGTTGGGTTTTCAGCCAATCAAATTCCGGTGGTGTCTAATGCTATCAACTTAAAGAAAAACCTCCCAAGTAGAGGAAAAATTTTTCTGGTTGGAAACACTTGTTCGCCGAAACCTTCATATTTTAAATAGATGCCATAATTTTTTACACTGTAGCTTTCTATCAGTACTTACGCATTGTTAAAGATAGTTCTCGGCGTTTAAATCAACGAGATTTATTGTTATTCGTCTAAAAAACAGATTCGGTATATATTATTATAATTAAACAGTAACAGTAATCAACTTAAATCCCTACTCTCCACTGGTCTGTTAACAAATCATATAAACTGTTATTGTTTGGCAAGAAAACACTAAAAACACATATACCTAGTACAATCACCAATCACTGTCAAAATTGACACAACTGGTATATCTGAAGAAAAATTTGTTAAAATTATATACGTTAAACCGGGAACGGTGGTATTAAGTAAAATATTGCCGTTTGATCTTTCTTACATCCTTGTTTAAAGCAATGGAACAACAGCCAGTGGCCTTTTTGTGGCGTTGGTCTCTTTGTTGGAAAAAATTAACACACACCGGGGTTGCAACGTTTTTGAGGCCACCAAGACCGTCAAACAAAACTGTGCTCAGTTTTTAAAAAATCCTGTAAGTTGTTTAACTTTATAGTTTTAAATTTTAATGATTTCTGTTTTAGGTACAAATTAGATTTCTTTATGAAGCAGCGTTGGAATATGTTCGAAAATTTAATATTTGTGAAGTCGTAGTTTAAGTCATTTAAATTAATATTGAATTCATTTATTTGTTCATAGTGAAGAATACAAATATAGGTTAAGTTAAATTTAACAGTAAGAAAAATGTAATGGAAATAATTGTCTCACGATTAATAAAGACCCTACAAATTTATTCGTCTCAAATTATAACAATGTATTAACTTTGTTTTTATTGTTTACATAACAGTAAGAAAATATTAGACATTTAAGAAAGAACCTAACTGATAACGAAATTTAATATTTCTTTCCGAAGATTGAACCTAAAAATATAAGCAAGTAGTCACATTGACAATAAGCACATTTTTTTATTAATTTTAATCGAAGGATTTTTAAGTGAGTCACCGAAACTAACTTAAATAAATATTGACTCAAAAATATGTGCGTCTATAAATTGCTACCTAAAATACACTAAAATGTATGATCCTATTTTTTATCGCATAGATAAACATCGACTTTACCTAGAATGAGATACTTAGTAAATTTTTACTGTAAAAAATTTGTGATATGTTTTTTTGCAAACACTGTGCTGTTTAAATGTGATATATGACTCATTATACATATATTTACTTTTGATTTTTTTTACTGATACTTCTGTCTTTAGTCGAACATCGAAAATTTTTCATTCTACTCAGATCATAGTGCGGCTAGAAGAAAATGAAGTTATTTTTATACAATTATGTTTTCGCGAGTGTGTTAATTTCAGCCGAAGTGATAACATTAATTAAAGATAATAGTATTACGTGTGTTTTAACAGATGATTCTGTTAACTCCACCATATACGTGACAAATGAATATAACTCTGTAAAACTCGAACGAACAATTCATGAAATAACCAATATATATGACGATGATTGGCAATGGAGATGGTCGAGTGTTGACTTTCGACCAGTACTTGACCAACGTTGGACAAGTAAGTAAAGCACACAACGAAAGGAGATTTCTATAGCATTTCTTAGATTTTAGTGCAGACATCGTGAGAGCTACAGACCGATTCTCATTGTGTTTAAAACAAGATTCGACAATTATTTTACATGACATAAGTTACCAACAATCTACAAACATACGAATACGACACGTGAGTATGTGACAAAAACGCACATCTTAAGTTCACTAATTTTCCGGTGTTAAAGTTGCATGGCCCCTTCACCGCTTGTCAGTGGGAGCACTACGAAATAATAAAAAATAATACACATGTGAGTCTAGTCAACACTGAAAACAACAATGTTATTAATGTAGCAAAACTGGATTTTGAACCGGTATGGCTATCATATTTTCCATACAATTTAAATCATAAAGTACATAAATGTAAGAAGTTGATCCTAAGATAACAACCAATATTATACCCATATTTTTCAGATCAATTTCGATACTCTAAAACACCTAGCACAAATCTAACATACATTAACATAACATCTTTGAGTTGTGTCTCTTTTTATGTTTCTGTTGATGAAGGATGTTATCTGAACATTTCGGTACAACCAGCAAACACCACTACAAAAATAGAAGGATTTAACGATAGAAACAAATTAAAAGAATGGAAAAAATACGAAATAAGAACTGATCCTAAAGCGATTAATCAAACGCTTTCGATTGACAGAGGACGAGACGACAACGGTAACGAGGGTTATTGGGCAATTGATGATATACACAGTTGTAGTTCCGAACCAGGTAGATTTTTGCTAAATTACTGTACCGAATACTTTCATCTCGCAATACGTATAGTATAAATCTTAGTTACAATAATGATTTTCAGTTGTTTATCGAACCAACGTAAATACATCTTGGATGTACCAAGTTTGTGTAGAGTTAAACCCAACTAGCTCTGCAAGTGAATTTTGTGACAATGTCTCTGTAGGAAAACAGTGTCACATTAAATGCGATAGAGTTTTGGGGTCGTCATATCCCAACTGTGAGGGACATCGAATTTGCGTGTCACGAACTGAGTGTCGATGTGCTTGGGGTTTCACAGGAGAAAACTGTAACGAAGGTATTGCGTAAACAACTGAAAACAATTAAAATAACTATTTTTATTCTAGCGTGTGAAGAAGATGTTTGGGGATTAGATTGTATGAATAAATGTACTAACTGCCAAGAGTGTGATAAGAAAATCGGATGTCAAAAATGTAAGCCACAGTACTTCGGGAAACAATGTGTGCATAAATATCCCGTCGTGAAAAAAACACCTATTTTAGAATCTAGTGACGACGATTCGATAACAATTTTAACAAATATTGAATATGGACAAGACGAAGCGACGCCAGAACATTATTACATTCAGTGGAAAAAGGTATATTACACACTGTAACTTGTTGCTTATTTTAATGTAATGTTGCCAGCTTGACAGCAACGATAGTTTCGAAAATTACACCGGCCAGCAATTCCACATTACAAAAAATAATGAATCGTTCTCAATAAATATTTCGCGGGATTATTCTTATCAGTTTAGAATAATATTGGTTAGCCATAATTCATCATTTCAACAAGGTACCATCCCGAAGTTAACCGTATACAAAAGTAAGTAACTAATATAACAATACAATACAGGGTGTTTTTGAAAGGTATGTAAAAAAGTAACGGGAAATTGGACATGAGAACACATGTCATAAACTCAAAATCACCTCAAATTAATTTTTCTTTTTTGAGACAAAATTCGCTAAAAAATGGATCAAAATTTGGCATGCGCTACTGATTTACGGCAATTTGTTGTTTGTTAAGCAACATTTACGGCGGGTTAACTTTACTTTAAGGTAAAGAATAATAGTCGTAGTTTAGCAACTGAAACAAACATTTTTGACGTTTTTTAGCCGAGATGCTTTGAAAGAAGTTTTCTTGAAAAATGCAAAGTTATACAAATGCCGAAATGACCAACATGGTCTTCATGTATGGCAGAACATTTTGAAAAGGGGTCTTGAAACTAGACGTGTCTACGGTGACACTTTCTCCGGTCGGAATTTACCAGACCGTGAAACTTTCAATGCCGTTGTTCAGCGTCTCCGAGAAAATACTAATTTCTTTTCTAAAAGACTTGACAGGCGAAAAACAAATTTTGACGTTTTGTTTGTCACTATCGACTAATACTTTTGTAAGAAAGGTTTGTGACTGATATTTACATTATTACTAATTTTGAGAATTGACGATGATATTTTGTATTTAAAGAATTTTATCGCATTTACGACTGCTGATAAAAATATCCCAGACGCAAAAAAAAAGGACATTATGTCCGTTCACACTAATAATCTGACTGCAAGGGTGCGACGTTATACTTGCATATCGAATCCACTATTTAGGGCGATAGCCACTTGACGAATCCATTAGTGAACCCTGATGAGTTATTTGGCCCAGCTGGGTGGCCCTGTGTTTTATCGGGATGTTTACCAAAAAGGTCCGGGAGAACAGTTTTCAGTTTTAAAACGGACGCGTACCGGTTAAGACGATTTTAACAGTTCCGTGTTACGGTTGATCAAAAAGTGTTGAGGTGAGTGTTATCACTGAGTTATCGGTTCTTGAGGGTGTGGTGATGTGAGCGAGATTTCACAAGGGTGTAATCCGTACTGCTAATCATCATAAAATCTAATTGGATTATTATCTGCAATAATTCGACGAAATTATGAAAAACTTAAAGGATTCTAAATATTTTACAACACTAGATGCAACTACTGGGTTTTGGAATATTCCACTTGATGAAAAAAGTAGTGATTTATGTGTTTTTGGAACTCCTTTTGGCCGCTACAAATTTAAACGTATGCCCTTTGGCATTACTACTGCGAGTGAAGTTTTTCAAGAAAAATTTCAACAACTTTTTCAAATGGAAGGAGTAGAGGTCTATATTGATGACATTCTCATACACGGAAAAACCAAAGAACAACACGACCAACGTTTAGAAGCCGTGTTAAAAATAGCACAAGAACAAAACATCAAATTTAATAAAGAAAAATGTCGAATTGGCCTACAAGAAGTTACATATTTAGGTTATAAATTTTCAGGCAGAGGGGTTGAAATAGATGAAGAAAAACTCAGTGCCTTAAAAGAGATGCCATCACCAAAATGTAAGAAAGATCTTCAAAGATTTTTAGGACTTATTACATATGTAGGAAGATTCATTGAAAATCTTTCAGAAAAAACTTATTTGTTAAGACAACTTTTAAAAGAAAAGAATTCATTTGCATGGGAAGAAGAACAAGAAAAAGCGTTTCAAGAATTGAAGAATCTTTTGATGCAACCTCCTTGTTTACAATTTTTTAACGTAAACCTTCCAGTCACAATTTCTGTAGATGCATCCAAAAATGGTTTAGGAGCGGTGCTAATTCAGAACGGGTCACCTTGTGCATATGCATCAAAATCCATGACATCTACTCAAACGAAATATGCACAAATCGAGAAAGAACTATTAGCAGTTTGCTTCGGAGTGGAAAAATTTCACCAATACATATATGGACAAAAATTTACTGTGGAAACTGACCATAAACCACTCATACCCATTTTTAAGAAAAGTCTAAATGATTGTCCAGCTCGTCTTCAACGTATGCTACTGTCACTTCAAAAATATGACATTGAAATCAAATACAAACCTGGAAAAGAACTAATTATTGCAGATCATTTATCGAGATCAATGTCACCAAAAGTATATCAAGAAAAAATGGACTTAGAATGTCAAATTTGTCTAATAAATGATCGCATAGAAATCAGTGACGAACGCTTAGAAGAAATGATAAGTGCAACAGCTGAAGATATGGAAATGCAAGAACTGAAACAATACATAGAAAACGGATGGCCACAAAACAAAAGTAAAGTACCAGACAACATCAAAAAGTATTATAACTTCAAGAATGAATTATTCCAAGGAATGGGTTTAATCTATAAAGGAAATAAAATAGTAATACCCTACAAAATGCGCACTAAAGTCTTAAATAGCATTCACACTGGTCACTTCGGAATAAATAAATGCATTCAACGAGCAAACCAAGCAATCTACTGGCCAAACATGAATGTAGAAATAGAAAATTTTGTCAGCAAATGCCAAATATGTCAACAATATAGTCGAAACAATACAAAAGAACCACTAATATTACACCAGATTGAAAAAATTCCCTGGTTCAAAGTTGGAATTGACATATATGAATTGTATGGAGAAGTCTATTTACTCGTAGTAGACTATTATTCAAAATATGCTGAAATTGCAAATCTTAACAGAAACATGACCTCAACCTCAGTTATAAAACATCTGAAATCTATTTTTGCTAGACATGGAATACCAGCTATAGTAGTCTCAGATAGTGGCACACAACTGATTAGTCAAGAACTACAAAAATTTGCAGAAGAATGGAAATTTCAAATACACCCTAGTTCTCCATATCACCAACAAGGAAATGGAATGGCAGAAAGAACCATTCAAACTGTCAAAAAACTATTAAAGAAAACAATCGAAACAAAAGCAGATATTGAACTTGCCTTACTAGCTTATCGAAACACACCTGTATATGGCACCTACACACCATCACAAATTCTAATGGCAAGATTACTTCGAGATAACGTACCGAGATCAAAACATCATCTTGAACCTCAACTAATCGAGCGAAATAAATTTCATAAAGAAATGGAACAAGCCAGACAGAAACAAAAGAAATACTACGACAGAAGTACTAAAGAGCGACCAATTCTAGAGAATCTTATATATTATCAGGACAAACCTGGCACTCTATGGAAAAAAGGAAAAATAGTGAAATCACTCAACGATCGTTCCTATCTTATACAAACGGAGGAGGGTAAAACCCTACGAAGAAACAAACAATTTCTCAAACGTAGAAGGGAGGAAATAGATATAGGAACGAATATTGAGAATGATATCGGTACCAATGAAGAACAAGACAGGGTACAACAACATGCAACCTTAGTTGTGCCAATTCCTCCGAATAATCGAATATCACTTCAAAATAGACCGCATAGAACGATTAAGAAAAATCCAAAGTATTTTGGTCCCCAATTTGTTAATTCCTAAGTTAGTAATAATTTATGTCTTGTATACATACATTAGTGTCATTGTGTTATTATTAGTATTAGTTTTATAAAAAGAAAGGGAGATGTAATATAGTTAATGTAAGATGTGTTGCCTACCTATTGTGTACATATGTAACCATACTTTATATCTGAATAAAACCAGTATACTCCTGACTCTGAGTCTGAACAGACATCACATCTTTTCAGCTTTGTTTATTGAATTTTTTTCATTTTCTATTAAAATATATATTTCCTAGTTCTTTTTGGATCAAAATATTACAATAAACGTTGCAATACAACATCAAAGTATTGCAACTTGCAACCAAAATCGTAATTTATTTTGGACATTTTCGGATCTTAAAAAAAATACGGGTGACCCGTTTTTCGTGCCGCTAAGTGTATATTCATCACCCTAATTTTTACTCATCTTTTTCTGGGTAACTGGTTGTATTACCTCTTCTAATTATTTAAAATTGCCTTTTTGTTGTTCCTTTGTAAGCAGCGTTTCTTTATTTTTCTTATTTCGCTAAATATTATTAATGAACGTTGTTTATTTTCTATCTGTCCTCTCTTTGAGTGCCATCATGTTTGATTTTACAGTAACTCAAGCACCTCAAAATTTGCGGATCGAATTAAGTCCACAATCAATGGACGAAGTGGTACTCAGATGGGAGTACCCACTTTACACACATCGAAAAATTGAAAAATTCCGTACAGTACTACACAACATCAGTGGGACAGAAAATGATACGATCCAAGTTTCCAATGAGATAAACTATTACAAAACTGTATAATATACTAATAACTCTACATTTCTTCTACACCAGTCAACAACGTGATTGTTTCAGATTAAAATCAAGTATGGTATTAAATACAACTTCACTGCTTGGGCACAAAACGCTCATGATGGTAAAAAAGCAACGATTTATTTCATAGTCTCTAAACCCATTTCTAAATTGTCGAATCAAGCGTTTATATTATGGTGTGGAGAAAAATGTCATTTAGTAACACCAAAATCAAAAACACTGGAAAATACGAATTACAACATTAAAATAAAACAACATAATGGCATCAAAAAGGAACACGAAACGAAAGGATTAATTTCTTTTTCGAAAGATAAAATTCTCTGCGTGGAAAATAACCGAGCATGCGACATCCACTCAAAGTTCCAAGAGGTGGCAACAGTGGCGGCTCGTGACTGTCTGATGTGGTGAGGCGATGATAGAAGTTTGACAATAATAATATCAATAATAAAGTCTTTGCATTTGAATGATTCAATAATTGTCAAAATTCAAAAAGCTGTTTTGTTAGGAACATGTCATATTGTTCGTAAGTTTCTTGAACAGTCTGATCATGTCAGTCAGATTAGATTAGCACCAGTAGGTCAGAGTAGTGTAGGTCACTTTTCATGTGATGCGCGGATAAATGGTCGGTAGTTACGCTGGACTTTTGGGGATGGGGTGAGATTAGAGAATAATAGCAGACTAATTTGTATGCTGTAATTCTAGAATCTCGAAAGTTGTTCTGTTAATCTAATCAATTCATATCATTACTTGGTCTTAGTACCCGTAATGATAGAAGTCTTGCCTGAATGCCGGTCATTTCCGGGTCAGTGGTGGGTCTTAAATTAATTAAATTAATGTCATTAATGCATATTACTAGTCTTAGTAACTACTATCATTACTAACTAGTAATGATAGAAGTGTTACCTGAATACTGGTCATTTCTGAATCAGTAGTGAGTCCTAATAATAATATTATTACTAATAATAATAATAATAATAACACCCATATCACATTTAATCAACAATGTTTTTACAAGTCAAAATTTTGTTTAAACTAGCACTTTCTTGGAGGGATTCGCCAATAGTTGTGTTCCTTTCTAAATATTAATTTAAGCCCATGAAATTTTTAATGTCTTTGGAACTTTCATGTAACTTTACACTTCGGATGAAATTCTTTAAATCGTTATATCCCGGAGACATCGTCCATGTGTTTTTTTCATTGCCTAAGAGTAGATACGGCCAACAATATACATTTTCAGCATAAATATTACGGCTACGGCAGAGCCGTTTATATGTTTCGTACCAGGTTGATTTAAAAGACCTGGAGTACTGACGATTTTGTCGCTTATCAATGGAAGTTGAATTAATTAACGGTTTTGACTGCTCGATATTTAGCAAAATTTACCGACGTTCTAACTCGGTTCGCTGTGAAAACGGCGTTTCAAGAAGCAACATGATAATATCGTACTCCGGATTCATTTTTCACTCACCTGTACCCTGTACCTATGAAAGAGACAAAAACACGAAACACCAACACGTGGGCTTTTATTCACATTTATGCTAATTACCCATGCACCCTGCACCCCTACCATTCTGTAAAATAAATAGGAAAATGGTTGAATTAGTACGCCGAAATTGGCCGAGAAACATCGAAGATATCGCCTCAGTTCCGAGCGAATTCATGTATTGGAGTATAGCAGCTGAGTCATGGAAATCCGTGTCTGTGATTGGGCTTCGTTGGTTTAAGTGAACCGACGCTCTGGGCGCTTCAGTTAAAGAATTCGGGGCATAAATCGTACAGTATTCAACGAAAAATGTCCGCAGAACGTGTAAAAAATTAAAAATCATGTACAGATCTCCCATTTCAACATATTTTTGTAACTTAAAATGCATTGAAAGCTCTTTTTTAATTATAAATTAAGTCAATCTGTTCTTTAGATATCTGCTGTGAGGCGCCGCCTCACTTGCCTCATATGACGAGCCGCCACTGGGTGGCAAACCAATCTTATTTTCTAAAAACAGACCGTGAAGAAATTCCTATCGAATTTACAGTGACTGAAGAAATCAAGATTACATCAAAAACAAATATTATTATTATTGGGGCAGTTGTGCTAAGTGTAATCCTTCTCGTTGCCTTACTTGTAGGGATATTTTATTATAGGTTAGTGCACTCATTATCAAGTTTAACAATTTTCAATACCTATATTAAAGTTGTAGATACATACTTAAATCTAAAGTTTCAAAAGCCACTGAAATGATTGAACTTAAAGAAAAAGAAACATTAATCAACACAAGTAACCAAACAAAGATTTTCTTTGGGCCCGTGGACATTAATGAATATGCAGTTTACCTTTTTGCGTCATTACGAGACGATACTTATCAAAGTATACTTACCCAACAATTTCAGGTAAATTCAAAAACAGATAATACGAATTTACGAACTATATTTTTAGGAGGTACCAACCAGAAAGGCTACACATTGTATCCACGGCCAGCTAAGTAAAAACGTCAATAAAAATCACTACAAGGATATTTTGCCATGTAAGAAAATGTTCTACATAAAATAACTTTTATCGAAATAGTCAAAGCACACGGAAGCCCAACTCATTTATTATTTTCCAGATGACGACACGAGGGTGATTTTGAACGATAACGAAAATGATGATTACATAAACGCAAACTACGTTGATGTAAGTACAGCTTTAGTTGTACTATTTTAAAACAACAATTTCCAAAGGGCTATGAACACCCGAAAGCATACATCGTTACTCAAACTCCTTTAACGTTTACCGTCCACGACTTTTGGTCAATGATATGCCAAGAAAACGTGAAAATAATAGTGATGTTGTGCAAGCTGGAAGAGAAAGAGTGCAGTAAATGCCAAAAGTATTGGCCAAACGATTTTTCCCACTTTAGGTTCGGATCGTTCTTGATAGAATGCGTTTCCGTAACGCAAAACTTGAATTACATCCATCGAATCCTTGAGGTGAAAAAAAATAATAAGACTCGTAAAGTTCAGCATTTTCAGTACCTTACCTGGACTATTCAAGGCATACCCTCGTGTGTTAAAAGCTTTACTGCTTTTGTAAAGGAGCTAAACGCCTTACGCGATAAATATCCTGTTGTCGTTCATAGCGAGTAAGTTGACTTAAGACTGAAAACTTATTAACAATCATTATTTAGAGGAGGTTGTGGAAGAACAGGAATGTACATTTTGTGCGACAGTGTAATAAAAATGACCATGAAAGAAAAGAAGGTCGATTTTTTTCAAACGCTAAGTAAGATGAGATATCAAAGGGACGGTGTGGTGAGTAATGTGGATCAGTACATTTTTTGCCACTTTGTGCTGTTGGAATTTTACTTTCCTTCTTCGAACGCGTCGAATCATTTTGTGTTGGAAATTCAACAAGGTATGCAAGAAACTGCTATAAAACGTCTCGTCGATCGCTTAGACGAAGCTGTAAGGCAATCCCGTAATGACAAAGATAGAGGTTTTATGATTTCTGAAGGTAGGTACACGATATTTAAGTATTCAAACATAAAACGCTATTACATTTTCCGTTGTATGCAGACAACAGTTCTAACAACATGAGACCTCTATCTGTGGACTGCTTTAATTTTCCCAGAAGATTCATCGTAACAGAAGAACCTTCACCAAATACTTTACGGAGTTTCTGGAATATAGTTATAAGCCACGAAGCCGAGATAGTAGTATGGTTAAATGGAACAAATCACAACCACGAGGTAAATATGTATATGTTCCTAAGTATTAATATTACACATTATCACCTAAGGACTATTCAAGTTTCTGGCCTAAAGACGCTCTTCACTGGTTTGTTAACGAATCAAATAAACTCGTTTTCGTTTGTCAAGACGACAGTAATGATATATACAACACAATCACTGTCAAAATCGATACAATTGGAAAGTCTGAAGAAAAATTCGTTAAAATCATATACGTTAAAACCTGGGAACGTACAAGTGCTACGCCTTCGAGCACAAAAGACTTAATTCAAATTTACGACAAAATTGCACCATACAACGGGCAAATTGTTGTCGCGTGCTAGTAAGTAAAATATTAAAGCTTGAATTCTGTTCACACTACTGTTAACTCTATAGCGATGGTACAACAGCCAGCGGCCTTTTTGTAGTATTGGTTTCATTGTTGGAGGAAATTAATAAGCATCGTTCTTGCGACATTTTTGAGGCCGCCTACACCGCCAAACGAAGCTGCGCTGAGTTTTTAAAAAATACTGTAAGTGTTTTAACTTTATAGTAGCAGTTTTTAGTCATTTCTGTTTTAGGAACAAATCAGATTTCTCTACATGGCAGTTTTGGAATACGTGCGAGAATTTAACGTTTATGAAGTTCTACCTTAGATAAATTAAGTTGATGTTTAACTCGTTTACTATACCTACACCGAATGACTATTAATGGCTGCGATCTTTTTGTTAGGTTGGCAAGTTATTTAAAATTTTATGATGGTATATCTGACCGTCAATGTGAGTTTTATGACAACTACCATCATCTCAGCCAATCAACACGTTTGTTGGACGTGCTCATATCAAAATCGGTAACCGTCATGGAGGTAGAATAAGAGGAGGGAAGATAGTTTGAAAGGGCGTATGGCATCGTCCTTTCGACTGTCTTTTCCAGCTGCTCCGGGAAACTGGTTGTTACAGTGGTCTGGACATACTGTGATTAAATAAATATATGTCAATATTGTATATGTATTTAATTAGTGTCATTGGTAAAGATCATGAATGGGTAAGGATCAAATTCTTTTGCTACTTGCTACCTGTTGATAATGTAGTACGGAAAGGGTCATAAATAGTTGTTACGTGGAACCCTTTGTCGGCGGTTCTTTAACATTGGTTAAATGAAGCATGCTCCCTCCTGTCATCCTATCTTCATGATAACTGTGAACTAACTAACATCGATGCCAAATTCAGAATTGCTAACACAAAAATTTGCTTCTATCATTAATAGTCACCCGGTATTTATATTTAAGACGAAATAATTATATAAATAAAAAGATCATAGTGATTTACAACTTTTTTATCAATTTGGAATAGTTTGGCAGAGCATCTAACAAAAGAAGAAAAATGTTATAAAATCTCCGAAAATAAATTGCGTAAACATTGGCTTGAAAAATAGGTGTAAGAATCACTGACTCAGGGCACCTGTTTTTATCCCCTCCGCTTTCACGGGCTAGAATTGTGCCAGGACCGGGCTTGAGATGAGAGAGTTTACCTGATTATAGACAGGTTGACGTTGATGTTGGATTTTCAGCCAATCAAATTCCGGTGGTATCTAATGCTATCAACTTAAAGAAAAACTTCCCAAGTAGAGGAAAAATTTTTCTGGTTGGAAACACTAATTCCACGAAAAATCAAATTTTCATAAAGAAAATGAGGTCCACTAATATTAAGCCATTTAATTACTTGTTCGCCACAACCTTCATATTTTAAATAGCTATATTTACATTTTCTACACTGTAGCTTGCTATAAGTACTTACGCATTGTTAAAGATAGTTCCCGGCAATTAAATCAACGACACAACTGGTATATCTGAAGAAAAATTTGTTAAAATTATATACGTTAAAACCTGGGAACGTTGGTAATAAGTAAAATATTGACGTTTGATCTTCCTTTATATCCTTCTTAACTTTGAAACGATGGAAAAACAGCCAGTGGCCTTTTTGTAGCCTTGGTCTCTTTGTTGGAAAAAATTAACACACACCGGTGTTGCAACGTTTTTGAGGCCGCCAAGACCGTCAAACAAAACTGTGCTCAGTTTTTAAAAAATCCTGTAAGTTTTTTGACTTTATATTTTTAAATTTTAGTGGTTTTTGTTTTAGGAACAAATTAGATTTCTCTATTAAGAGTAAGAAAAATGCAGAAAATATTAGACATTTAAGAAAGAACCTAACTGATAACGAAATTTAATATTTCTTTCCGAAGATTGAACCTAAAAATATAAGCAAGTGGTCACATTGACAATAAGCACATTTTTTTATTAATTTTAATCGATGGATTTTAAGTGAGTCACCGAAACTAACTTAAATAAATATTGACTCAAAAAAATATGTGCGTCTATAAATTGCTACCTAAAATACACTAAAATGTATTATCATATTTTTTATCGCATACGTAAACGTCGGCTTTACCTGGAAAGAGATAATTACGAGTAAATTTTTACTGTAAAAAACTTGTAATACGTTTTTTTTGCAAACACTGTGTTGTTTTAATGTGATATATGACTCATTATATATTTACTTTTGATTTTTTTTACTGATAGGTTTGTCTTTAGTCGAACATCGAAAATTTTTCATTCTACTCAGGTCATAGCACAGCTAGAAGAAAATGAAGTTATTTTTGTATAATTATGTTTTCGCGAGTGTGTTAATTTCAGCCGAAGTGATAACATTATTTAAAGATAGTAGTATCACGTGTGTTTTAACAGAAGATTCTGTTAACTCCACTATATACGTGACAAATGCAGGTAATCAGGTAAAACTTAAACGAACGATTCAAGAAATAACCAATCTATATAACGATGATTGGCAATGGGCAAACTCGAGTGTTGACTTTCGGCCAGTACTTGACCAACGTTGGACAAGTAAGTAAAACACACAACGAAAGAAGATTTTTACAGCGTTTCTTAGATTTTAGTGCAAACACTAAAGGTGTGAAACTTACAGACCGATTCTCATTGTGTTTAAAACAAGATTCGACAATTATTTTACATGACATGCGTTACCAACAATCTACAAACATATCAATACGACACGTGAGTATGACAAAAACGCATTTCTTAAAGTTAACTAATTTTCCGGTGATAAAGTTGCATGGCCCCTACTCCGCTTGTCAGTGGGAGCACTACGAAATAATAAACAATACTAGACATATGAGTCTAGTCAACACTGAAAACAACAATGTTATTAATGTAACAAAACTGGATTTTGAACCGAGATGGCTAACATTTTCTCCAGCCAATTTAAATATTAAAGTACATAAATGTAAGAAGTTAACAACCATAATAAGATAACAACCAATAATATAGCTATATTTTTCAGATCAATTTCGATACTCTAAAACACCTAGCACAAATCTAACATACATTAACATAACATCTTTTAGTTGCGTCTCTTTTTATGTTTCTGTTGATGAAGGATCTTATCTGATGATTTCGGTACAACCAGCAAACATCGTTACAAAAATACTTGGATTTAATGAGAAGAACCAATTAAAACAATGGAAAAAATACGAAATAACGACTGATCCTAAAGCAACTAATCAAACGCTTTCGTTTGACAGAAGACTATACGATGACCGTCTGGAAGGTTACTGGGCAATCGATGATATACACAGTTGTAGTACCGAACCAGGTAGAATTTTCGCTAAATTAATTCGTCTCGCAATACGTATAGTATAAATCTTAGCTACAAAAAGATTTTCAGTTGTTTATCGAACCAACTTAAATACATCTTGGAATTACCAAGTTTGTGTAGAGTTAAACCCAACTAGCTCTGCAAGTAAATTTTGTGACAACGTCTCTGTAGGAAAACAGTGTCGCATTAAATGCGATAGAGTTTTGGGGTCGTCATATCCCAACTGTGAGAGACATCGAATTTGCGTGTCACAAACTGAGTGTCGATGTGCTTGGGGTTTCAAAGGAGTAAACTGTAGCGAAGGTGTTGCGTAAACTACTGAAAACAATTAAAATAACCATTTTGATTCTAGCGTGTGAAGAAAATGTTTGGGGATTAGATTGTTCGAAAAATTGTACTAACTGCGAAAAGTGTGATAAGAAAATCGGATGTCAAAAATGTAAGCCACAGTACTTCGGGGAACAATGTGTCCATAAATTTCCCGTCGTGAAAAAGCCACCTATTAAAACCGGATAACGTTACGTGCATCGTAACACGTTTTATTTTATCCTAAGATCACTTTTTATAGTATACTTCGTAACAAGGGTCGAAAGTAACAAATATCAAGCGAGTGTTTATAACAGATATACTCTTACGGAGCGGAGCGGAGTACGAGTAGGTCTATTAAACATGTACAATAAAAAAATTGAACGAAAGACTGAAAATTGAAACTATTAACAAAGTTAAATTAGCGTATTCTGCAACCTTAAATTTAAATTTGTTTGTCTAGTTACTTGATTTTTTTAAAATAAAAGTGCAAGCACAGGCGTTGCTAAGACGTATCGAAGCAAGGCGATAAAAAGTTACTAATATGATAAAAAATAACTAATATGATATTCGGAACTTTCATACATAAATTATAGTGTTGAAAGTTTCAGTTTCGTAAACAGCCGTCTAAAAATATATAACAAAAATATTTTTAACGATAAAGTTCAAATCATGCTGCGCTGATTGCCACGGTATGTGTTGTTTACATTGAAAAATTGATTTTGATTTTGTAAAAGCGAGAATGACTTGCAAAATAAAATGCCGATGCTGCAAGACAAAAAATCAGCTGGCAGGTATGTGAAAGAGCTAGTAAACTTTAAAACCTGTAGAAAAAAATAATAGAGTCGACACGATAGATAGATTAATTACTATCAGCGTACGCTTCGGAATTAGTAAGTTTTTTAATTTGTATGTCAACAGCTCTGGAGGGAAAATGTCAGTGAAAATTATGTTTGACAGTTTTTAAATTTAGGTGGCAACAGAGCACAATAAGGCAATAAAATTATTATCGCTGTGATAGACATGTAACTAAGGGCATGAACAAATTCTATTTTAAGAAATGGGTTATGACAAAATTCCAGTTAGTTGCTATGACGTTTTTTAAAACAATTCCATTGTCTTGTGAAAAGTCTCTATGGTGTACCATTGTGTTTCCATGACACCGCTTTATGGCACGACAAATCGTGCCATAATATGAAATCCTGCCGTAATGTGGCAGATTATAAATAATTTTCGATGCGTCAATCGTGAATTATGAAGCTACTCGACCGCAAACAAATTTTAGTGTGTCAAAAGGAAATTATCAGACTCGTCGACCACAAAACAATGAATTACTGTAAAACCGTGGAGATTCACCGTTCATGAATGAACTCTTTACAGATTGGGAGGCCAAAAACGTAATAATTAATAAATCAATTTGATTTTGCAGTAACTCAAGCACCTCACAATTTCGGGATCGAATTAAGTTCACAATCAACGGACGAAGTGATACTCAGATGGGAATACCCACTTTACACATATGGAAAAATTGAAAAAAAATTCCATACAGTACTACACAGCAGCAGTGGGACAGAAAATAGTACGATTCAAGTTTTCAATGGGATAAACTATAACAAAACTGTATAATACTCTATATTTCTTCTGCATCAGTCAACAACGTGATTGTTTCAGATTAAAATCAAGTATGGTATTAAATACAAGTTCACCGCATGGGCACAAAACGCTCATGATGGTGAAAAAGCAACGATTTATTTCGTAATCTCTAAACCCATTTCTAAATTGTCCAATCAAAGTTTTATATTATGGTGTAAAGAGAAATGTCATTTAGTAAAACCAAAATTAAAAACACAAGAAAATACAAGTTACAACATTACAATAAAACAATATAATGGAACCAAAACGGAACACGAGGCGAAAGGATCAATTTCTCCTTCGGAAAATGAAATTCTTTGCACTGAAAATAGCCCATCATGCGAAATCCATTCAGAATTCCAAGACGTGGCAAATCAATCTTATTTTATAAAAACAGATCGTGAAGAAATTCCTATCGAATTTACAGCTACTGAAAAAAGCAAGATTATATAAAAAACAATTATTATTATTCCGGCAGTTGTGCTAAGTGTAATTCTTCTCGTTGCCTTCCTTCTAGGATTCTTGTTTTACAGGTTAATTTACTCAACCCCCAGTAAAAATTGTTACCTATTTATGTCGTTACAGGAGAAAAAGTCAGGCATATGCATCGAAAAAATTAAAAAACATACCAACTATAAAATACTCAGACCTTACAAAAAAAGAAACACTTATGGCCAACAACCACGAAAGCGATCCTTTTTTCGAACCTGTCAAGATCAACCATTTTGCGAATTTCTTCTCAACTGCGCTCGACGATGACCCAGATGACAACATAATAACACAACAATTCGAGGTCAGCTTAAAACCATTCGTTGCGTTCTTAAAAACAACCCTTTTCAGGCGGTGCCTAGAGCAAAAGTTACAAATTGTCAACATGGCCAGTTACACGAAAACGCTAACAAAAACCGCTACAACAATATCTTGCCATGTAAGAATTGTTTAAAACCTTTACTTATCTAACCACTTTTTCGTTTCTAGATGACGACACTAGAGTAATTTTGCAAGGAAACAGCGAGGGAGACTACATCAATGCAAACTACGTCGACGTAAGTATCTCTTTGACGAGACTTCGACCTGATTAAAATTATCCAGGGTTATGACGTCCCCAAAGCTTTCATTGCCACTCAAGCTCCGTTGCCGTCCACCGTAGACGACTTTTGGTACATGATCTGGCAAGACAATGTCAAAATCATAGTAATGTTGACCGAAATCGAAGAAAACGGGCGCGTCAAGAGTGAAAAATATTGGCCAGAAGATAACTCTCGTTTCAGGTTTGGAAACTTCCTCGTTGAAAGTGTTTCTCGAAAATCGACTTCGCACTACATCCATCGGGAGTTTCAAGTAATATTTAATAAGCAAAGTCGTTTGGTTGACCACTTCCAGTACACAGCGTGGCCCGACCACGGAGTACCATTGTACGTTTGGGAGTTTGTTACATTCGTGAAAAATATATTGAAAATGGAACAGAACACTCCCGTAGTCGTACACTGCAAGTGAGTTAAAAAAATTCTAACACTGCGTATGACTTTAAAGTATATCCAGTGCAGGATGTGGCAGGTCGGGTACTTACATTCTATGCAACATTCTCATTAAAATGGGTACGAAAGAGAAACAGTTGGACTTTTTTGGGGTTTTGAAACGAATGAGAGACCAAAGGGCTGGTCTGGTGAGCAACGTAGAACAGTACATTTTTTCGTAACGGGTCATATTAGAGTACTTCTTCGGAGAAGATTTTTCCATTTCCATTGGTAATAATTTTGACGAGGAGGTACAAAATGCTTTAATTGACTTCAACATAAAAGACATGTTCAAAAGTCTGACACGAAACACGAGACCTCAATTTGAAACAACCACGCAACTCACCGACGAAGAAAAATCCAAAAACCGGTTTTCTAAAATCTTGGCGGGTAAGTATAACACGAAATAACTCTTATTTCTCACGAGTCGAAAATAAACGCATTTCTTAATTCGCGTAGGTCCCTCCCAAATTTATTTGCCAACATCTTCTCGTGATTCCTCAAACTACATCAACGCTGTAACCGTGGACTGCTACCAATATCCCAAAAAATTCATCGTGACGCAACAACCCCTACCCAACACTGTTGGAGACTTCTGGAAACTAGTTCATGAATACGAAATCGACGCAATCTTGTCCTTGAACACAATAAACGACAAAGACATGGTAACACCTCTAAATTTACCCGATTTCAAACAGTACGTACCGTATTCCAGGGTTGCCCGAAATTTTGGCCCAACGAGAACGAAGGTAGTTGGACCTTCAATTCCATCAAATTACTTTTCTTCAATCAAGAAACTGACAACCCTTCATACAACTTAGTACGGCTCAAAGTACGGAAAACGACGGAAGACAAAACGAAGAACGTCATTGTAATAGACCTGAAAAATTGGAGACGGAAAACACTTAAGCCTTCGTATATTAAGGATTTGATTCATGTTTGGCAGAAGATTATGACGTGTAAAGGGAAAATTGTTGTCAGTTGCTAGTAAGTCGAGACAGTAGTGTGATTAGTTTTTTATTGGGTTGAATTTCAGCGACGGGGCAACTGCAAGTGGACTTTTCGTGGCGTTAGCGTTTGTGCTCGAAAAAATCTATTTAGATAATTGCTGCGACGTTTTCACTGCCGTTCGAACCGTTAAACAGAGTCGGGCACAGTTCGTTGAACACGCTGTGAGTGACCAGTTTCGAGTTTTTGATTTTGTGTTAATTTTCTTTTTTTAGGAACAACTGAAATATTTGTATCAGGTCGCTCTTGTGTATGTACAGGAATTTAGCACGTACCAGAATTTTACCTGATCGAATGTTTTGCTATATAGTGTGTTTTTTATATGCCGTACACATAAATCTCCATTTTTTGCAACTTGAAATGTAAATGCTTAGTAAATATAGAAAATATATGCTATTCTGTGTTGGCTTTCAATTTATCATAAACATGTGGTATATCATCACTTCTGTGTTTTTAGCCCTCCTTTCTTTCTTATTTCTTAAAAAAAGACCAACCAAAAATTATTTGTAATAGTGGAGTACAATAAATCAAACGCACCTTAAAAAATTGATCGAAAGTTCCGACAGAACTTATTATTAAGACCCACTGACCCGGAAATGACCGGCATTCAGGCAAGACTTCTATCATTACGGGTATTAAGACCAAGTAATGATATGCATTGATTAGATTAACAGAACAACTTTCGAGATTCTAGAATTACATCATACAAATTAGTCTGCTATTATTCTCTAATCTCACCCCATCCCCAAAAGTCTAGCGTAACTACCGATCATTATTATCCGCGCATCACTTGGAAAGTGACCTACATTACTCTGACCTACTGGTGCTAATCTAATCTGACTGACATGATCAGACTGTTCAAGAAACTTACGAACAATATGACATGTTCCTAACAAAACAGCTTTTTGAATTTTGATAATTATTGAATCATTCAAATGCAAAGACTTTAAATTCTCAACTAAGCTATTTGGAACTACACCTACATTAGAGATAACTAGGGGTAGAATTGAAATTTTTTTAAGATTCAACATGGATTTCATTTCTATCGATAAAATTGTAGATATTTTGAAATCTTGGTTTGGTATGTTTGAATAATGTTGTTTGTGTTAGGAACAGCAATGTCAATGAAAGTGGCTTCGTTCGTGTGTTTTTTGATAAGTATGATGTCTGGTCTGTTAGCTGTAATGTTTAAGTCTGTAAGTATTGTGCGATCCCAGTATAATTTGTATTTGTTATTTTCAAGGAACGGAGATGGAATGTAAGTGTAATAGGGTGTCGTATCTTCGATTAAATTCATAAGTGTTGCTAATTCTTTGTGGATGATTTTGGCGACGTTGTCGTGTCTAGCTTTGTAGTCAGTTTGTGCTAGGATGCTGCAGGAAGAGATTATGTGCTGGATCGTTTCAGGTTTTGCTTTGCAGAGGCGACAGCAGTCGTTTCTTATGTTCGGATCTTTGATGATGTATTTTCTGTAATTGTTGGTATTGATTACTTGGTCTTGAATAGCAAACACAAATCCTTCTGTTTCGGCATACAAACTTGATTTTTTTAACCAAATCAATGGCATCTTCTTATTGACATGAGTTTCTTCTAAGTCTTTGTAGAATGTTCCATGTAGTTGTTTTTGTTTATTAATATTAATATTGAATTCATTTATTAGTTCATTGTGAAGAGTACAAATGTAGGTTAAGTTAAATTTAACAGAAAGAAAAATGTAATACAAATAATTGTATAAGACTAATAAAAACCATACAGTTCAAATTCAACCATTCGTTTCAAATTACAACAACATATTTAGATTGTTATTATTGTTTACGTAACCCTTGGAAAATTTTAGTCATTTAAGAAAGAACCTAACTCATAACGAAATTTAATATTTCTTTGCGAAGATTGAACCTAAAAATATAAGCAAGTAGTCACATTGACAACAAGCACATTTTTTTATTTATTTTAATCAAAGGATTTTATGTGAGTCACCGAAACTAACTTAAATAAATATTGACTTGAAAAATATATGCATCTACAAAATCCTACCTGATACACTAAAATGTATGACCATATCTTTTATCTCGTAGATAAACGTCGACCTTACCCAGAAATGCCATGCTATTAACAACGAGTACAATTATACTGTAAAATATTTGTGATATTTACGTTTTTTTTGCAAACACTGTGCTGCTTAAATGTGATATGACTCATTATATATTTAATTTGGTTTATTTTACTCGTAGGTTTTTCATTAGTCGATCATCGAAAATTTTTCATTCTACTCAGATCATAGTGCGGCTAAAAAAAAATGAAGTTATTTTTGTACAATTATATATTCGCGAGTGTGTTAATTTCAGCCGAAGTGATAACATTAATTAAAGACAGTACTATTACGTGTGTTTTAACAGACGATTCTGTTAATTCCGCTATATACGTAACAAATAAAAATAACTGTGTAGAACTTAAACGAACAATCCAAGAAATAACCAATATATATGACGATGATTGGCACCGGACAAATTCGAGTGCTGACTTTCGGCCAGTACTTGATCAACGTTGGACAAGTGAGTAAAGCACACAACAAAAGGAGATTTCTATTCTATAGCGTTTCTCAGCTTTTAGTGCAGATATTAATGATCTGACATTTAACAACCGATTCTCACTGTGTTTAAAACAACATTCGAAAATTATTTTACATGACAGGTTTTACCAAATTCACGAAAGAATGCCAGTAATAAATGTGAGTATGTGACAAAAACGCATTTCTTATATTCACTAATTTTCCGCTGTTAAAGTTGAATATTACTACCTACTCCGTTTGTCAGTGGCGACACTACGAAATAATGAAAAATAGTACAGATGTGAATCTGGTCAACACTGAAAACAACAATGTTGTTAATGAAAAAAAACTGCATTCTGTACTGGCAAGGCGAAGATTTTCTCCAGACAATTTAAATATTAAAGTACATAAATGTAAGAACTTGATCCTAAGATAACAATCATATAACAGCTATATTTTGCAGATGAATTTCGATACTCTACAAGAACTAGCACAAAACCATCATACATTAACATAACATCTTTAAGTTGCGTCTCTTTTTATGTTTCTGTTGATGAAGAATGTTACCTGAATATTTCGGTACAACCAGCAAATAGCATTACAAAAATAGCTGGATTTAATGAGCAGAACAATTTAAAACAGTGGAAAAAATACGAAATTAAGACTGATTCCAAAGCGATTAATCAAACGCTTTCGATTGACAGAGGACGAGACGACAACGGTACCAAGGGTTATTGGGCAATTGATGATATACACAGTTGTAGTTCCGAAATAGGTAGATATTCTTACTAAATTAAACTAAACACCGCTTCGAATACTTTCATCTCGAAATACGTGAGTATAAATCTTGGCTACAAAATGATTTTCAGTTACTTATCGAACCGACTTGAATACATCCTGGACTAACCAGATTTGTGAAGAATTAAACTCAACTGGCTCTGTAAGTGAATTTTGTGACAATGCCACTCTAGGAAAACAGTGTCACATTAAATGCGATGCAGTTTTTGGGACGTTATATCCCAACTGTGAGGCACATCGAATATGTTTGTCACAAAATAAATGTCACTGTGCCTGGGGTTTCAAGGGAGAAAGCTGTAGAGAAGGTGTTACGTAAACAACCGAAAACCGTTAAAATAACTATTTCTTATTCTAGAATGTGTAGGAGATTCTTGGGGATTAGATTGTTCGAAAAATTGTACTAACTGCGAAAAGTGTGATAAGAAAGTCGGATGTCAAAAATGTAAGGCACAGTACTTCGGGGAACAATGTGTGTATAAACTCACCGTCGTGAAAAAGCCACCTATTTTAGAACCCACTGACGACGATTCGATAAGAATTTTAACAAATATTGAATATGGACAACACGAAGGGAAGGCAGAACATTATTATATTCAGTGGAGAAAGGTATATTACATCTAAGTAAGTTGTTGCTTGTTTTTATGTAATGTTGCTAGCTTGAGAGCACCGATGGGTTTAAAAATTACACAGACCAGCAATTCCCCATTTCAAAAAATAATGAATCGTTCTCATTAAATTTTTCGCGGGATGATTCTTATCAGTTTAGAATACTATTGGTTAGCCATAATTCATCATTTCAACAAGGTACCATCCCGGAGTTAACAGTATACAAAAGTAAGTAATTAATATAATAATACAATACAGGGTGTTTTTGAAAGGTATGTAAAAAAAGTAACGGGAAATTAGACATGAGAACACATGTTATAAACTCAAAATAACTTTCGTTTATGAGACAAAATTCGCAAAAAATGGATCAAAACTGAGCGTCCGCTACTGATTTACGGCAATTCGTTGTTTGTTAAGCAACATTTTCGCCGGGCTAATTTTACTTTCAGTAAAGAACAATAATCGTAGTTCGGCAACAGAAAAAATCATTTTTGACGTCTTTTCGCAGAAATGCTTTCAAAGAGGTTTTCTTGAAAAATACAAAGTTATACAAATGACGAAATGACCGACATGGTCTTAATGTATGGGAGAACATTTGGAAATGGTCTTGAAACTCGACAGCTCTTCAGTCGGAATTTACCAGACCATAGAACTTTCAATGCCGTTGTTCAGCACCTTGAACGTTATTTATATTTGTCATTGGCGCAACAAAAGTATGGTGTATGGGTATTTTTTTGTGAGAATGATGCAGTGAACAAAGCTTTGTATAGCTTTCCAAGATGGTCGAATATACCAATTTTTTGCATATCTTTAAAAACACCCTGTGGTTAAAACTTTAAAAAGACAATTTTAGAATCTTTGACTGCACATGTGGAAGACGATGATACGATCATATTAAACTGGACTAGACATGAAACTAATACGTACAAGATAACACACAAGGTATAAACATCGACAACATTAGGTATATTGAATTCGGTTTCCTCTCTGTCAAACCCCTGCAACGTTTCAGAAATTCTGCATATGATTTAGCACACTTCCTTCAAAAAATTCTTTGCTTATTTACTATCCCTATGTTTCTTTACATTCAGCGTATCTCTGTATTAATAAATGTACCAGTGTTTGTAAAGTAAACATTCTGTTTCGTTGATATCTACAACACTCACCGGCATAAAAAACGGGCCAGCTAATACTAAAAGCTGGTTTCCACTATTCGATTTTCGTATTCGACTTGCAATTCGACCTCATTCGATTCCCAATTAGTACAGTGCTTTGACAATTTTACTATGCTTATTTTTGATGTTGTTGCTTGACCAGCATATTAATTGTATGTACCTGCACCCCACACTTTAGATGAGCTTCAGAATATGCTTTTAAAGGAATGAGATAATATCTAACAAGAATAAATAAACAATTTATTTCATGGGATATCTTAGAGAATAGC